GCTTTATCATCATCATCAACAACCTCATCATCATCTATATCAATTATGCAGCTTTATCATCATCATCAACAACCTCATCATCTATATCAATTATCAGCTTTATTATCATCAACAACCTCATCATCATCAATAATCTCATCACAATAACATTATCAGCAGCAGCAACCTCATCATCATCATCATCTATATCAATTATCAGCTTTATCATCATCATCAACAACCTCATCATCATCTATATCAATTATCAGCTTTATCATCAACAACCTCAACCTCATCATCTAAATCAATTATCAGCTTTATCATCATCAACAACCTCATCATCTATATCAATTATCAGCTTTATCATCAACAACCTCATCATCTATATCAATTATCAGCTTTATCATAATAATTAACAACCTCAACCTCATCATCTATATCAATTATCAGCTTTATCATCATCAACAACCTCAACCTCATCTATATCAATTATCAGCTTTATCATCATCAACAACCTCATCATCATCATCTATATCAATTATCAGCTTTATCATCATCAACAACCTCATCATCATCATCTATACCAATTATCGGCTTTATCATCATCAACAACCTCATCATCATCATCTAAATCAATTATCAGCTTTATCATCATCAACAACCTCATCATCATCATCTAAATCAATTATCAGCTTTATCATCATCAACAACCTCATCATCATCTATATCAATTATCAGCTTTATCATCATCATCATCATCATCAACAACCTCATCATCATCTATATCAATTATCAGCTTTATCATCATCATCAACCTCATCATCATCTATATCAATTATCAGCTTTATCATCATCATCAACAACCTCAACCTCATCATCTATATCAATTATCAGCTTTATCATCATCAACAACCTCATCATCATCTATATCAATTATCAGCTTTATCATCATCATCAACCTCATCATCATCATCTATATCAATAATCAGCTTTATCATCATCATCATCATCTATATCAATTATCAGCTTTATCATCATCATCAACAACCTCATCATCATCTATATCAATTATCAGCGTTATCATTATCATCAACAACCTCATCATCATCATCTATATCAATTATCAGCTTTATCATATCATCATCATCTATATCACATCTGTCAAACTAGCGGGCCGCCGGCTGACTTTGTTATTGTGAGAATTTCGTAACGTCCATCGATATCATCATCAACAACAACATCAACCACATCACAGTATTTTATACAGAGATGCATTAGTACACGTTTCCCTGCTGTGAGGAATCGTTACTACAGAGAGTCGTCCTTAAATGACGTGTTAAATGTTTTACCTCGGCTTCTCTTTGTTTCAGCAGCTTCCTCATCTGCTGCTCCTCCTCCTGCTCTGGCTCCTCCTCCTCCTGCTCTGGCTCCTCCTCCTCCGTGGGAAACAATCAACATGTAAATGTGTGTCTCCTTCCATTGTGGGGAGACTTTCCAGAAGTAACCTTACCTCTCCTCCTCCTTCGCCTCCTCTCTCCTTGTGGTTTGTTTCTCGGTCTCTCTTCCTCCTCCTCCGTCCATGCTGCTCCTTCATCATGGCTGTGACATGGCTCTCCCCCGCTTCCTTCCTTGCCTCTTCCACCTTTGATCGCCACTCCTTTCTCAATCTCCTCTTCTCTCTTCCTCAGCTTCTGGATTTCTATTGACAGAGCTTTCAGCTTTCACCTCCTTCTCCTCCTTCAACCTCTTCCACTTCTACTTCTCAACTCCTCCTTCGGCATGTCTCCTGGTTCTCCTCTGCTTTCTCCTTCGGCTGGTTGGGGCTCCTCCAGCTCCTCCATCATCTCTCTCTCCTCCTTTCCAGGGGCCTTGGCTCTGGGTCTCAGCTTCTGCAACTCCTCCTCTCTCCTTCTCCACCTCCTCGGTGTGGCTCCTCTGAATGATCAATGTTCAGAGGAAAACGTGAGCATCCTACTATCTGTTTCCTTTTGGTTCACTACAGAGCGAAAGGCTGTCATGTTAGCGTATCTTAGCATAGCATCTGGAAACAGAGGAGAACTGCTCACAACGTTGTTGTAACATCCTGGAGCTTCTATTAAAATACTAAAATAAATAATTTATCTATTGACTTTATTGAGGAGTGACAACACACGGCCATTCAGGTTTATCACTATTAATCTCATTGTGAAATTCATTAATCGCAATCACCACAAACATCACACATTCTGCCCCCAAGATGATCAAATGTGTTTATAAGATTTATTTAATCGCAATTAACGAATTTCACAATGTGAGATTAATTAGTTCCTTCTTTATTCTATTGACAGCTCAAATATATTAATATATTGTGTACTAGTACAACTGTACCTGACTCTGTGGGGAGCTCCCCTTCCTCCACCTCTGCACCTCCTCTCGGAGAGCATTCACCTCCTTCTCTTTCGTCATTAACATCTCTTCTGCATGCTCCTTCTCCTTCTGCACCTCCTCTCTGAGAGCATTCGCCTCCCTCTCTTTCATCATTAACATCTCTTGGGCATGCGCCTTCTCCTTGCTTTCCTTCTGCACCTCCTCTCGGAGAGCATTCACCTCCTTCTCTTTCGTCATTAACATCTCTTCTGCATGCTCCTTCTCCTTCTGCACCTCCTCTCGGAGAGCATTCACCTCCTTCTCTTTCGTCATTAACGTCTCTTCTGCATGCTCCTCCTTCTGCACCTCCTCTCGGAGAGCATTCGCCTCCTTCTCTTTCGTCATTAACGTCTCTTCTGCATGCTCCTTCTCCTTCTGCACCTCCTCTCTGAGAGCATTCACCTCCTTCTCTGTCTTCCTTAACATCTCTTGGACATGCTCCTTCTCCTTGCGTTCCTTCTGCACCTCCTCTCGGAGAGCATTCACCTCCTTCTCTTTCGTCATTAACGTCTCTTCTGCATGCTCCTTCTCCTTCTGCACCTCCTCTCGGAGAGCATTCACCTCCTTCTCTTTCGTCATTAACGTCTCTTCTGCATGCTCCTTCTCCTTCTGCACCTCCTCTCGGAGAGCATTCACCTCCTTCTCTTTCGTCATTAACGTCTCTTCTGCATGCTCCTTCTCCTTGCGTTCCTTCTGCACCTCCTCTCTGAGAGCATTCGCCTCCTTCTCTGTCGTTATTAACGTCTCTTCTGCATGCTCCTTCTCCTTGCTTTCCTTCTGCACCTCCTCTCGGAGAGCATTCGCCTCCTTCTCTTTCGTCATTAACGTCTCTTCTGCATGCTCCTTCTCCTTCTGCACCTCCTCTCCGAGAGCATTCACCTCCTTCTCTGTCTTCCTTAATGTCTCTTGGACATGCTCCTTCTCCTTGCGTTCCTTCTGCACCTCCTCTCGGAGAGCATTCACCTCCTTCTCTTTCGTCATTAACGTCTCTTCTGCATGCTCCTTCTCCTTCTGCACCTCCTCTCTGAGAGCATTCACCTCCTTCTCTGTCTTCCTTAATGTCTCTTGGGCATGCTCCTGCTCCTTGCGTTCCTTCTGCACCTCCTCTCGGAGAGCATTCACCTCCTTCTCTTTCGTCATTAACGTCTCTTCTGCATGCTCCTTCTCCTTCTGCACCTCCTCTCTGAGAGCATTCGCCTCCTTCTCTGTCTTCCTTAATGTCTCTTGGACATGCTCCTTCTCCTTGCGTTCCTTCTGCACCTCCTCTCTGAGAGCATTCACCTCCTTCTCTTTCGTCATTAACGTCTCTTCTGCATGCTCCTTCTCCTTGCGTTCCTTCTGCACCTCCTCTCTGAGAGCATTCGCCTCCTTCTCTGTCTTCCTTAACGTCTCTTCTGCATGCTCCTGCTCCTTGCGTTCCTTCTGCACCTCCTTCTCCGTCTTCCTTAACATCTCTTGGGCATGCTCCTGCTCCTTGCGTTCCTTCTGCACCTCCTCTCTGAGAACCTTCACCTCCTTCTCTGTCTTCCTTAACATCTCTTGGGCATGCTCCTGCTCCTTGCGTTCCTTCTGCACCTCCTCTCTGAGAACCTTCACCTCCTTCTCTGTCTTCCTTAACATCTCTTGGGCATGCTCCTGCTCCTTGCGTTCCTTCTGCACCTCCTCTCTGAGAACCTTCACCTCCTTCTCTGTCTTCCTTAACATCTCTTGGGCATGCTCCTGCTCCTTCTGCACCTCCTCTCGGAGAGCATTCACCTTCTTCCTACTCTCGCCACAGTTCCACTAAAAGCCACCGCCTTCTCATCTTTCCACTCTTTGGTTTGGACCTCCCTCCTTCCTCTAACAGAAGGGGGTGAACTCCAACCAGGCTCACCAATCTCTCTCCGTTCTGCTGGCCTGGGTCAGAAGGTCTCTAATTCTCCTGCACCTCCCTCTCCATCTCCTCTAACCTGTCATCCAGCCTCCTCCTCTCCTCCCTTGCCCTCCTCAGTGCCTCCCTCGCTTCCTCCCTCTCCTCTTCCACCTCTCTCACTTGCTCCTCAAGTCTTCTCTGCTCCTCCTCCATCTCTATCAGCGTAATATCCAGTCTTCTCCTCTTCTCCAGCTCAATTCTCCTCAGTGCCTCCCTTTCTCTCCCATCCTCCTCCTCCCTCTCCTCCAGCATAGCTTTTAGGTACTGTGCCTCCTCCTCTCGCCCCTTCAGGATTTGGTTCAACTTTGTCACCTCCCTCATCCTCCGCTCAGCCTGCTCCCTCCACTCCTTCACCTCCTCCTCCAGCCTATCGCAGGCCTGCTCCCTCTCTCTGGCTCTCCTCCTCTCTCCCTCCCTTTCAGCCTGGGCTGCCTGCAGCTCTGTGGCCTGAGAGGAGAGCGTCACCTCCCTTTCTCGTCCCTCCCTCCTCTCTGTCTGCAGGAGGAGCCGGGCTTCTTTCAGCAGCGCCTCCAACTGCTCCTCCTTCCCTGCGCGCTGCTTCAGTTTGAAGTTGGCCTCCTGACGCTCTCTTTCTCCCTGCTCCTTCTGCTCCTCTGCCAACCTCAGCTGCTCCTTCAGCTCCTCCACCTCCTCTTCGCTCTCCCTCACAGCGCTCATCTGTCGCTCCAAGCTGCGCTCCCTCCGCTCCACCTCCTCTTTCATCTCCTCGCATTCCTCCGTGGCCACATTCAGCCTCACCCTCAGCAGCTCCACCTCCGCCACCTTCTCCATCAGCCTCTCCACCTCCCCTCTGAGTTGGTCCACCTCCTCCCCTCTTCTCCTCCTCTCATGCTCCTCTTTGTCTTGCAGTATCTCCTTCTCTCTCTTCTCCTCCTCTAGCTCAGAGGTTTCTTTTCTCAGCAGGTTTATCTCCTCCTCCATCCTCCTCCTCCATCTATTTGCCTCCTCTGCTTCCCTCCTCAATCGCTCCATCTCCTCCTCTCTTTTCACCTCCTCCTCCCTCCGCCTGACCTCTGTCCTCTTTGCCTCCTCCTCCAATCGCGCCTTCAGGTGACTTATATGCACCTCCCTCTTTGTCACCTCCTCCCTCAGCCGCTCTAACTCCTTTAGTCTGTCCTGCTCCTCCACTATCAGCCCCTCTATGCGCCTCCTCAGCACCTCCACCTCTCCGTCCCTCGTCCCCAGCGCCTCGTTTAGAGCCTCCCTTTCTCTCTGCCAGACCTCCAGTTCCTCTTCATCTTCCCTCCTCCTCCTCCTCCTCGAGTCTTCCACCTCCTTTGTCAGCCGCTCAGTCTCTTCCCTCAGTGCCTCCTTCTCCTCCTCCCCCCTCTTCTCCTCCTCTTCTCTCCCGGCTGTTGTTCTGTCCAGCTCGCCCCGTAGACACTCGATCTCCCCTTCAGAATAAAAGCACAGAAAACTGCAGTTAATGTCCAAACAAAACAAACTGTGATTTAAAGCCTCGTCCAGCTGTTTGCTGATGTTTGTCAGAGAATTTAAAGGCAGTTTTACTGTTCCCTAGTTTTGTTTAATGTAGTTTGCAGGGCGGCGCGGTGACGTGGTGGTTTTCACTGTTTCCTCACAGCAAGAAGGTTCTGGTTCTCCTCCGCCCAGCGGCCTTTCTGTGTGCAGTCTGCATGTTCTGGCCGGTCCAGTCCAGAGAGCCGCTCTGGGGATCAGGGTGAGGACTCTAAACGGCCCGTAGGAGTGTGGATGGTTGTGTGTCTGTCCAGGATGAACCCGTCTATCACCTGAAGTTGGCTGACAGACTCCAGCCCCCGTGTGCAGGCCTGAGGTATGTTACTGGTGTAATGCTGCTAATGCTTCTACTTTCTCAGTACAAAGAAAATGGATCTCATTTACTAAATGTTCAGCATAAGAAAATATCCTCCTGTGTTTATTTCATTATTCATTTTATGAATCATGTTTCCTTATTTTGATGTCAGAAACAGTAAGTAAGGATAAAGTGCTGCTTCAGTAGCACACGGCCTTGTTTTGTCAGTTATTCATTTATTTATTTCATTAGATAAATGGTGTTAGTTTGAACAAAAATAAACATACAAGTTTTAAAATATCATGTGTTTATTAATATTATTTTTAATTTCATAATAGTTTGGGCAATCAGTACCTTTTATTTTGGTTTGAGCAGCTGGCACGTGGCCGATGATACGTGATGAGTGAATGCGTGAACAGCTGATGGTGACGATGAGGACGATGAAGGCGCCTCACTGACCTCTTAAAGCCTCTTTGACCTGCTGCACTGTGAGCACGCGTGTGAGCAGCTGGCAGCGCTCCACCTCCGACTGGGAGAACTGCTCCTGCTGCTGCGCCAGCTGCTGCTGGAGAGACTCAGAGAGCCTCCTGCAGGGCCAGAGAGACGCTGGTACAAGTACACAAGTAGTACTACCTCATATATATACACGTTTATATTAAACACGCACTACCTGAGCTCCTGCACCTCCTCCTCCAGCTGATCCCTCTGTCTCTGCAGACGCTCCTGCTCCTCCTGCAGCCTCCTGCTCTCCCTCTGCTGCTCCTCCTGCTGCTGCTCTCTCCTTCTACGCTGCTCCTCTGACTGCCTCAGCTGCTGCTGCGCCTCCTTTAGCTCCGAGCACACCGAGGCATGCTGGGAGGACAGCTAAGGATCACACACGCGTCACCAATGACGCAGCAGACAGGTGTAACGCTTTCTCATCACCTCCTCCTCTTTACCTCCTCCAGCTGACCTCCCTTGCTCCCGCTTTCCTCCATAAGCAGGAGCAGCTGTCTCTCCTTCTCCTCCAGAGTTCTCTCCATATCTCTCTCTCCTCCTCTGAGCCGACGCACGACGTCAGCCTGCTCGTCCCTCTGAGCCCTGAACACATCATTGTTTACATGGAGGATTAAGGATTCAGGTACATGCGTCGTCATGGAAACCACACGCACCTGAGTCGGCTGCAGTCCAGGTTGACGGTGTTGACCTCTCTCTGCAGAGACGTGACCTCTGACCTCAGCCCCTGCAGCTGTGATCGGCTGTCTGACAGCTCACGCTCCAGCTGCACACGCACACACACACATACATCAGACAGGTGGGGGCAGACAGGTGGAGGCAGCATCAGACAGGTGGGGGCAGACAGGTGGAGGCAGACAGGTGGGGGCAGACAGGTGGAGGCAGACAGGTGGGGGCAGACAGGTGGAGGCAGACAGGTGGAGGCAGACAGGTGGGGGCAGACAGGTGGAGGCAGACAGGTGGGGGCAGACAGGTGGAGGCAGACAGGTGGAGGCAGACAGGTGGAGGCAGACAGGTGGGGGCAGCGTGGTTACCTCCAGTAGCTGCTGGCTCAGCTCCTTCTTGTCTAAAGCCAGACAGGAGTTCAGGGCGGCCATCTTGTTCACAGCGTCACATGCGTCCTCCAGCTCCCTCCTCAAGACGCACTCAGAGGAGGAGAGACTCAACACACGGTCTCTGGACTGGGGGGGGGACATGACGGGGGAGGCATGACAACTCAATGTGCTGGAAGCAATGCATTCTGGGTACATTTGTGTAAAATACTATTGAGTGTTAAATTCAAACTACAAACATTTTATTTTTTTCACAAATCGCAATGTTTGTTGTCGAATCTAAAAGCCAATCACCCATTTCCCATCATGCACTGCATCATGGCGCCTCGCTCCGGTGATATCATCACAACATGTTTTTGATCAGAGCACTTTGGACACAAATGTACCCAGCATGCATTGTGTTGAGATTTCATCAGACTCTGGTACCTTCTGCAGAGCGTCTCTGATGTCAGCAGCTTCTTCTTCTGCTCTCTGTTGGTCCAGCTGCTGCCTCTCCAGCGCCACCTGCAGAGCACAGACACAACTACAGACTGCGCCTCCCCGAACACACCACCATATACATACATACATGTACATACATACATTCACACATACATACGTACGTACATGTACATACATACATACATGTACTGTATACGTTTTTATAAATGATGCCTCGTCTGCATCATTCTTAAATGTTGTTGTTGTTTTTTATGTGTATGCATTCTCTATGGACCTCTGTGTCTGGAATAAAGTTGATTGATATATACGTGTATGTATGTATGTATGTATACATATACACACATACATACATACGCGTCCCTTGCGTGTCTTTTCACACCTCCTTGCGTGCGTCAACACATTTTTCTAGGCCTCCTGCAGCACCAGGCTGTGGCTGGTCTGCTGACTACGTCCTTTACGGAGTCTCACGTCTCCGGTTTAGGGCTCCGACCCTCAGCTAACCATAACCCTGTTCACGGGAGAACGGATCAGACTGAAGAGCTTTTAAATACGAGCGCTTGTACAAGCCGTCATTGGCGGACTATGAGGACGCCGGACGGCCTCTGATTCGTGGAGGCAGATCTCCACCAACGAGGGGGACAACGAGTCTCAGTCGCATCCTCGTGACGCATCACGGCTACACATGAGATGCATGGTCTCTGTGGTGACCTTTGACCTGCAGTGGGCTTCCCGCTCCATGTGCACTGACCTGCGGTTCCTCGCGCCTGCAATGGAGGGCGCTCTCAGTGTGGGACAGGTCCAGGCTGAGGACGTCTAAGGGCGCACACGGACTGCTGCTCTGGACTCTGGACTGGGGACAAAAAGAAAACCACACTGACCTCTGACCTCTGGGGCCTCTGACCTCTGAAGGCAGATCCAACTCACCAGTTTGGCCACAGCCTGTTTGACCGATTGAAGACACTCTGTTGTCTGTGTGTCTCCTCGTCTCCGGTCCTCCTCCTGAGAGCAACACAGCTCCTCAATGCTGGACAGATAGGAAGACACAGACAGACAGACACAGACAGACGGTAAGACAGACAGTAAGACAGACAGACAGACGGACACAGACAGACAGACAGACAGACAGACAGATTATTCGTCTCGAGTAAAGCTGATGATCAGCAGTAAAAGTACAAAGTAGAAGCTAAAAACAGAACAGAAAACAAATAGAAGAGAAATGAACCAGGAAGTGACCCAAAGACAGAAGGAGAAGAATGAAGATCTACCGTTCTTTCAGCTCCACAATCCTGGTCTCATGAAGAAGCTTCAACTCTGTAATCTCTTCTCCTTTCTCCTTCTCCAACCTCTTCTTCCCTTCCTCCAGTTCCTCCTTCTCCAGTTCCTCCTTCTCCTCCTCCAACCTCTTCTTCCCTTCCTTCAGTTCCTCCTTCTCCTTCTCCAGTTCCTCCTTCTCCTCCTCCAACTTCTTCTTCCCTTCCTTCAGTTCCTCCTTCTCCTCCTCCAACCTCTTCTTCCCTTCCTCCAGTTCCTCCTTCTCCAACCTCTTCTTCCCTTCCTCCAGTTCCTCCTTCTCCAACTTCTTCTTCCCTTCCTTCAGTTCCTCCTTCTCCTCCTCCAACTTCTTCTTCCCTTCCTCCAGTTCCTCCAACTTCTTATTCCCTTCCTCCAGTTCCTCCTTCTCCAACCTCTTCTTCCCTTCCTTCAGTTCCTCCTTCTCCTCCTCCAACCTCTTCTTCCCTTCCTCCAGTTCCTCCTTCTCCAACTTCTTCTTCCCTTCCTCCAGTTCCTCCTTCTCCTCCTCCAACCTCTTCTTCTCCTCCTCCTGGTGCTGCAGCTCTCCTAAGGAGACGGTTCCCAGGGTGGAAGAGGAGATGAGAGGAGGCAGAGGTGAAGAGGGGTCCTGAAAAGGGGGCACCAGTGTGGAGGACAGAGGAGTGGGGGGGACAATAGGGGGGAGGGCGGAGGAGAAGGGCTTGATGAGCCTCAGAGAAGAGGAGACAGAGTCACAGCTGGACAGGAGGGAGGAGGAGAGACGAGAAAACTCCGCCCTCAGCTGCCACATATCCCTGAGGACAAAGAGACAGGTTAGTCCACTCGGAGCGGCATCCTTTAGCTTGCTGGTGAAGTCCTCCCTGCTCCACCTTCTACCTCCACCTGCCACAATCACCACAGTGCCACTGAGAACATAAGAGTGTAATAAAGTACGCGCTTTCAAAACAACAAAGAACGTTTAGACATTACAATCAGAATGTGAACAAATATGAAGAAATAGTGCACTTGAGCGGTGATAAAATGTGTTTCATAAAAGGGAAGCGATCCAGGGAAGGTTGGACGAGGTGCTGGACGTAGATACGGGGGGGGGGGGGGGTGGGGGGGGCTGCCAATTCAATCCTTTGTGTCATATAGAACAGATTCACTTCAGTCGGCACACATGTGACATCCTCACATCGCCAATGAAACCCGTCGATGGGGAACAAGGGGGGAACCTTTGAGAGAACAAACTGCCCGACTGTTGACCAGCAGAGAATGCTGGGTAACGTTCATTAAAGGAGGCACGTCTGTATCAGAGTGTGAGGAGGTACAGGAGTTGAGGTGTGGGATGAACAGAGCCCATCATACCGGTCGGCGGCGGTTTTAACAGTGTGACAGTGTCTCCTCAGGGCGACCACGGACATCCAAAGTGAAAGTAACCGGGCCTGCTGCTGACCCCATTGACCTGTGAGACGCTGCAGACACACACAACACAGTCAGGAAATCAGCCTGAAAAACCACAACTATCAGAGTAAAAGATAATTGCAGACCTCCCTCTCTGTTCGCCATTCATTCTCTTTCTGCCCCGCCTCCTCTAACGCTCTGGTCCAGTCAGACGTCAGCTTCTGGCGCTCCTCCCTCAGTGCCTGGTTGGCCTCCTCTGATTGGCTGAGTTGCTCCCGCAGGATAGTGTTTATTTCCCCCAATCCAAGAGACCTGAAAAGAGACACGGACAGGTGACGCGCTCAGGTGACGCGCACAGGTGACGCGCACAGGTGACACGCGCACAGGTGACGCGCTCAGGTGACGCGCTCAGGTGACGCGCACAGGTGACGCGCTCAGGTGACGCGCACAGGTGACGCGCACAGGTGACACGCGCACAGGTGACGCGCTCAGGTGACACTAGCTGTGTCTCAAAGTCGTTAGGCTGCATCCTTGCAGCCTGCAGGAACCTTTGGTAGACCTGGTCTGGTCCTCCAACAACTGCAAAGGCTGGACCGAGCGGTCTCTGTCCTACGTGGTCCTGCTTGCTCACCAGCTTTACCTCCGCTGCTCCTGTTGCCTAGCGACCTGCTGCTCCTGTTGCCTAGCAACCTGTCTTAAAAGCCCCAAAAATTACAGTACAGAATAATCTTATAAGATGATAATCTTATTTTATTTTATTTAGAAAGATATGCTGCTCCTCCGGAACATGATATATTTCAGGCTGAGAGAAGGTGTTTTGGTTATTTTAAAATAAAATAAAATGAAATCACTCAGGCCATGTAAAAGTAATAATGCAACCTCAAGACATCAATAAAAAGCACAACACATTTATTAACTGGTACTTCTTATTTTTCTACTGCAGAGGATACGAGCTATTTTAACTGTAACTTAAGATATTACACAATATGTTACATTCCATTCATCATTTAGCTGAGACAGATATTATCTAAAGAGACGAACACTGATTTTTAACTTTAACATTGAACTCCAGGAGGATCGACTTGTCAGCAGCCTCTAGTGGACATTTAAGGGACTGCAGTTCAAAAGTTTAAACCCTCATAGAGGGTGAATCTGACTGAGTCAACATATTGATTACTAGTGTGTTGTTGTTGTTGTTGTTGTTAGAAAAGGCGTCAACGCTGACGACACAACTCTGGTCCGCCATCACCCGCTGTGTGAGTACTTGTACTGCAGTATTCACTCTTTGGATGTGATGTGAGTACTTTGTGTACCATCAGCACAGGATGTGAGTACATCACATGTCATTTATCCGACTCGTTTATCCAAAGCGACTTACAATAAGTTAATTTAACCATGAGGACACAAACTCAGACGAACAAGGAACAAATAAGCTAATTTACAACTCGCTGTAGATAAGAACCATTATAAGTCCAATGTAAGTGCTGCAGTTAGTTAGTGTGTTAGTGGAGGTAGAGTCTGAAGAGGTGTGTCTTTAGTCTGAAGATGTGAAGGCTCTCTGTGGTCCTGATGTCTTCAGAGACCTCCTTCCACCATTTAGGAGCAGGACAGCAGAGAGTGGAGATCTAGTTGAGTGTTTTGCTCTCAGTGAGGAGGAACAAGCAGTTTATCACATGCAGAGCGGAGAGGTCAGAGGTCGGGGTGTCAGGTTGGACCAGGTCCTGGATGTAAGCTGGAAGAGCCTGAATCAGTACCTGCGCTGCCTTCTGTAGATATTGGAGTGAATTCTATTACTTAACGTTACATTTAAAAGTAATGCATGCTGGGACGTGGACAGATCAGATGTGTCCTCTGATCGGCTCGACCGCGTTCGAAGGAGCCGACAGAACGGGACAGACGAGTCGCAGGCGAAGTGACGACACACACACACACACACACCTCTGTTGTTCCTCCTCCAGCCTGATGAGGGCGCCCTCCAGGGAGTCACTGTGTTCATCCCTGATCCTCTGCTACATCCAACACAACACACATCTGGATTAGTGCAGTAGTCGTTTTAGTACTGCTAATAGCAGAGTACTACTAGTACTACTAGTACGGACCTCGGTGCTGCTCACGTCCTGCAGCTGAAGGTCTGATCGCTGACATCGATCTCTGTACTCAAACACCTGAGACACAAGCAGGGCCATCAGTACTCCCACTAACAGGTACTAGTACTCTGAGGTACTACGGGAACACTACTCACCTTGTTCTGCAGGCGGTGGATGAGCAGAGCCTGTCTGGCCTCCCTCTCTCTCCCCTCCCTCACCCTTCTCTTCCACTCCCTCTGCTCACTCTCCCCCCGCAGAGAGAGGGCGAGCGAGGGAGACAATGACTTGATAAGCTGGAGAGAGAGAGAGAGAGAGAGAGAGAGAGAGAGAAGGGAGTGGGAGAGAAACATAATGGTTAGCTTCACCAGATGATCATGTGACCGCCTCCCCTCCCCCTTTCCTCCCCCTTCCCCTAAAGCTTAGCTCTTGGACTTCTCCCCCTCCTCACCCTGTCCTCCAGAGCTCTGCTCCTGGACTCCAGCTCCTCCTTCTCTGCTCCGCTCTCCGCCAGCTCCTCCTGCAGACGACACACTTCCCTCTGAAGCTCCGCCTTCTCCCTCTGCCATCCAATCAGTAGCTCTGCCTGCATGCTGACAGGTGAAGCTGTTCCTCAGGAATCCTGGTGGAGCAGACAAGTAAATGAAGAAGAAACTTCACAAACTGGTGTCAGGTCTTTCATACATACTGTATGTCGTTTAATTGGACTTTCTTATATTGGATTTATTTTCCTGCTTATATTGACGTCACGTTTGCAGCAGGTAGATGAGCTGATGAGGCACTAGTGCAGTTTTTCTACCGTGTGACGGAATGTACTTTTTGTGTATTTGGTCAACGCGTTTTGCTGTGGAAATAAACACCAAACGAAAAGAATTGAAAGGTCTCCAGTCATTCGCGTTACGGAAATGGACTTGTGTGTCTGCAGCTCAATTGAGGCTCAATAATGTTCGTGACCGAGAACAGCTGCACATAAAGGTTCAGTTCCAACCCGGATGCAGCAGTTTACTGTGGGGCCAAGACAGGTAGACAACGCTGACACAAGCAGTAGGACAGGGGCCCTCGCCCCCGGAACACCTCTGTGCATTGTGTATTTAGTGTGCTGACAGCTTCACCAATGGAGGAGCATCATCTACATACACACTACATCATCTGTAGACGTAGTATCCATTCAGGGGGATACTTCATCCAACAGTTGTCAACTTTTCTGTTCTCATTAGTGTTTGTGTCACAATAAAGAGGTATTCTGCTCCTTCAGAGTACTATGCATGTTGTGTTGATCAAATGGGAAAAGTTATATTTAAGTCTATTGGAAATCCAGTTTGTAACAGAACAAAATGGGAAAAAGTCCATGGAATACTTATGCAAGCTAGACGAAAAATAAAATAAAAAATAGCTACAAGTCTCTAAACTTACATATGATACACACATGTGTACCGTGTAATTATATCGCAGTAGTGGTAGTAATATTATCAGCATAATGTATAGCAATTACTAAGCAAGGACTGTAAGGTTCTTATCTACAGAAGGTTGTACATCGGCTTATTTGAGGAAATCACACTTTCTTGTTTCTTGTTCTTCTGAGTTTGTGTCCTTATGGTTGAAATGTTCTTATTGTAAGTCGCTTTGGATAAAAGCGTCAGCTAAATGACATCTAATGATAGTCTTTAATCAGCTTGTATTAATCTGTTTAACAGCAGAGCGAGCAGAAGATTAACATCACCAACAGACTGGTTCTAACGGCTGAGCTAACGGACAGAAAGACGAGGAAACCAACCGGGTCTGGTGGAACTAACGGTGCCGTTAACGCCACTACGGATGTAGCATGTTAGCATGTAACCGACAAACGGTGAATTCAAGTCCGTGACGTTACCTGCTGGAGCTGCTGCACGAGCGCCACACACAACACGTCCCGAAACATTTCATAAAACCCTCTGGAAACCAAAACGGTTACGCGACCCGTTTGTTTGTTGTCGTTAGCATTTTCAAACCAGGAAACATGACCTTTCACCCGGAGGTGGCTACCTCACGTGACCGGAAGCGAGCCTGTCTAACGCAGACAGCCGACAGCGGCCAAATCACTTGCAGCGAGAGAATTTACAACGGGCGGCGCGAGGACGCGAAAGACGCGGCGCAGGGGACGTGAAAAAGCACACGCCCCTCCCAGTTGATGCCCCGCCCCCTACGCCACATCAGGGGCAGATGTATGAAGGTAGATTTGTGTCTTTATTATGCAAACAAGTCTGAGTGTGAAAAAAGGTCAAAACGCGAAAAACAGATCTGAAAGTGAAAATATAAGTTTTAAATCAGAAAATATCAAATCTGCCACCCAAAAATATAATACAAGTGAAGAATGAAAAAAATATATTTTATTCAAAAAAATGATAAAACTGAGTAAAAACTATATTCAACCCAAAAATACTTTTTGTGCACCTATTTTTATTTTACATTTTTATCATACATTGTTTTTTTCAATGTTCAAGGACAAAACTGTCAGAATCAGAATCGGCTTTATCGGCCATGTTTGTTTGCACACACACGGAATTTGTCTCTGGTTACACGTTGCTCTCAGTCATACATAGATGTACAAATAAACGACAGAAATATAAGAAAATATGAAAAACAACATTAACGACAAAAAAATAGAACACAAAAACTAAGCATAAACATTTATTTGTTTTTCAAATGAACAGAACTTTGACCTGGATTTGGCTCCATACACTTCAGGCTAACTAACTATTCCCTTGTTTTATACTAACCCATAGCCTTATTCTACTAACCCATTGCATTAGCATTTCATTTTACTTTATTTTATTACTTGTGCACTGTTGTCTTGTCTGTCTACTGTCGCGCACTAACCGCCAAGACAAATTCCTTGTATGTTTGGCATATTTTGGCTAATAAATGTTTCCTGATTCCTGATTCCTCCTAAGCAGCCAGTTTGATGACTGAGTTTAATGACCTATTGTCGGATCGGTGCCAGGAGCTCTTCTTACAGGCGTTCAATCTCATCTGTGGAGCGGCTGTCTCTCTGTCCCCAGAGTGTGGCAGTTACATAAAATATGTTACTAGGTACTTCCGCTAACTGCGTGAGGGTTTGGTTCTCAAGTGTTTGAGGCTCTCAGGCAGACATGTTGAGTAGGGATGGCGAGAAGAAGCTGATGTTGATGTTGAGGCGATGCACAGTCTGCATCCAGCCTGTAAATATTAAAGCCACAGCAGAGGACGCTCAGTACCTCTGCTCCAGGGCCTTTCATCTTGTCACAGTGTCATTCAGTATATGGAAAGCATTGCTCTTGATCAATTCATTGTTACATCTTCACGGGAAAGTTGTATTGTTTTGTTTTATCGTAATGTATGAATATAAAATACGCAACATCAGATAATGTATTATCACACAAAGATATAAACGTTTTTTAGACTCATATAAACTGGAATATTATGAACTAGAAGTTCTGTCACGGACAACAAGTTATTTATCATGAAAATAATATATTATTACTATTGTGTACTGGTATTTACAAGCAAACACAACACGTAATATAGTGGCTACATGATGATATTTAAAGGACACCAAAGGGCCCCACATTGTCTCCAGTGGTGTAAAAAACAGTGAAAGCAGCAGAACTCTCAACATAAAGTAATATTAAGATTAATACCCAGCTTAAACAATTGACCTGTTTGTACCTTTGGTTTAAAAGAAACAATATTGCAATTAAATATATCACAATCATCTGAAGCAGCTTGAATTAACATTTTCATAATAGCTTATCAGTAATTGTCATCTATAAAAATACAAACTACAATTACAGTAAAACTGCTGGTTTGACAAATATAACAGAAATTAACAAAATAACAGAATTCATTGCGTTGACCAATAAGAAACATACAGTTTTACAGTTGTTTTGAAAGTCAAACTGCTGATCAGACACGGAGCGACTTCCAATAGGACTGAAGTAGGCGTTCAGCTAGCATCTAAGCTAGCTGAACTTGTAGTTGTCTTTAGCTTTCCATATACTTTCTTTCAGTAGGTCTTGAGTTTGAAGACTTTGCTGAGCCTGGAGGTGGCGCTAGAGTACACAAGGAAGGAGCCTCCATCGATGCTAAAGTATTCCCAGTCTCTGCAGCCAAACGTTGGCAGACTGTGCACCGGGACAAAGCCCTCGTAGCCCTGCCACCTGAAAACACAAACCGCCATCACCAGCAAATACAGCCAGACTCCATTACACACACAGAGACTCCAACAGGAACCACTGAGCATCAACAAAGATCAACAAATGCAAACAAACAACAAAAAACAACACGCACCACCAAACACCAACAAACAGGAAGTACGCACCTGTAGACAACACTATTCAGAGAGTAGGAACTGCCGTCATGAGAGTTGGCCACAACCAAGAACTTCTCCTCTCCGATAGTGAAGAACTCCCAGTCCACAGCACTGAGCGCAACACCATCAGAGGAACACCGTCAGAGAAACACCACCACAACGTTCTGTTGTTTGTCCCTATGTAGTTGGTGTTGTTTTCTATAGTCCAGGGATCCTATGTACACCTGGATTGACTAAGCTCCTCCTTCTCATCCCGGCTCAGAAAACGTGCAACCGATTAACATCAGTCACTTATCCTGGATTCCCTTCTTTCTGGATTTCTGGATTCTACTTTTGTGCAAATCCCTTTGGTTATGTTCACAGGCTCAGTTACCATGGCGACTGACCCCGAGCTTTAGTTACCTCCCTTTCTGGAACAGACAAGCCAGAGTTTCTCTCATCGCACGGTGAACAACTGAGTTTCCACTAAACCCGCTTCTTGAAATGGACCCTAGGTTGTGTGTTGTTGTTGGTTTCTAAGGTGTTGTTGGTCTCTATGGTGTGTTGTTGGTTTCTAAGGTGTTGTTGGTCTCTATGGTGTGTTGTTGGTCTCTATGGTGTGTTGTTGGTCTCTATGGTGTGTTGTTGGTCTCTATGGTGTGTTGTTGGTCTATACGATGGCTCACCTGTGTGTGACGATGTCCTGGAAGCGGATGAAGGTCTCGGTGAGGCGGTTCAGCTCGTACACGGTGGAGTTGAGGCTGTAGAGGTTCGGTCCGCGGTTGGAGACCTTCTGGCTGTTGGCGACGGCAAGAAAGAAGCGTCCGTCGATCTGAAACGTTTCCCAGTCTGTCGCTCCGACCGTCTGCAGAGGATCAAATGTATGTTTCATACAGACCTCATAACACTGTTTGAAGGTCTATTACACAAGACGTGAGCAGCTTTAAGGCTTGGAGGACCTTTGTGTCAGAAGAGGAATTAAAGATTCATCAAGCTTTAACAGCTTTTTTGTGGTTTTAAAAAAATCTAATAAAAGTCTTCAGTGAGATGATCCGCCCTGAACGGACGAGTCTAAACAGACTACTGGAAACCCCCCACAGACACACCCGCACGCACACACATTAATTACACCCCCCGGTTCCTGTGTTTTAATTGGAAGGTTTCTTTCCCATTTTAATCAGAGCGTCATTAACTAACAGCAGGAAAAATACTAAGCCACTTTCACACATGTATATTTTAATGAGCTGCTTAGGAGTCTCACCTGTACAGTTAGAGACTCCTATTTACAGGTAGAGTCTCACCTGTACAGATAGACCCTCCTATTTACAGGTAGACTCACCTGTACAGTTAGAGACTCCTATTTACAGGTAGAGTCTCACCTGTACAGATAGAGACTCCTAATTACAGGTAGAGTCTCACCTGTACAGATAGAGACTCCTATTTACAGGTAGAGACTCACCTGTACAGATAGAGACTCCTATTTACAGGTAGAGTCTCACCTGTACAGATAGACCCTCCTATTTACAGGTAGACTCACCTGTACAGATAGAGACTCCTATTTACAGGTAGAGACTCACCTGTACAGATAGACCCTCCTATTTACAGGTAGAGACTCACCTGTACAGATAGACCCTCCTATTTACAGGTAGAGACTCACCTGTACAGATAGACCCTCCTATTTACAGGTAGAGTCTCACCTGTACAGATAGACCCTCCTATTTACAGGTAGAGACTCACCTGTACAGATAGAGACTCCTATTTACAGGTAGAGTCTCACCTGTACAGATAGAGACTCCTATTTACAGGTAGAGTCTCACCTGTACAGATAGAGACTCCTATTTACAGGTAGAGTCTCACCTGTACAGATAGAGACTCCTATTTACAGGTAGAGACTCACCTGTACAGATAGACCCTCCTATTTACAGGTAGAGACTCCCCGTTGGGCAGAAACTCACTCCTGTAGGTAGAAACTCACCTTTACAGGTGGAGACTCACCGGGATGCTCTGGAAGGTCTGGAAGCAGCCATCCAGCCAGATGTAAACAGTGGAGCTGACAGAGGTGGTCTGACCGTCGAAGGTGTTGGCGACAACTAGGAAGTGATACGGCCCCACGGAGAAGAACTCCCAGTCATAAGCTCCTGAGGTGGACAGAGTCTGGTTCACCTCGAACATCTACGGGGCGATGGCAGGACAGAGGACGGGAGGAAAGGAGGACAAAGGATGAGAGGACGGAGGAGGGACGCTGGATCAGAAGAGGAAAAGTGAGGAGACAGCGTTTATGAGGACAGAGTGAGTTAGTGAGGACATTCTTACCTTTGTCGCTGCGTCCCACCTGTAGATCACACTCTGGATGTTGTGATTTGAGTCTCTGGCTGAAGACACAGAAACCTTTGAATCACATTACTACTGTTTTTATAAATATTGTATCATTTATTTGACTAATTTCTCATTTGAAGTTTGAGGCGACACATTGGACTGTTTCTTTAAATGTGTGTGTGTGTGTGCGTGTGTGTCTAACCGCAGCACACCTGCATCAGCTGACTTTCTTTCTTTCTATGTTTTCTTTCAGATGGATATCGTCATAAACAATATTTCCTTCCTTTCAGCTCAGATCAATGAGTGTTTTATCTTTACAGGACGCACACACACACACACACACACACCACAGTGCAGGTGGAGGAGTGTTTGATGTTAATGAAGAGATGTGGACCCTCTGAAGTCTTCCTTCTCATCAGACCCTTTAGTAGTTGCTCCGGAGCTTTGCATCCTCTTTCTTCTTCAGCTGAAGATTCCTCCCATTTGATCCGTTGAATATTCTGATTGGTTGACACTTATTGATTGATGGATTATGGATGTTTACCTCGTCTGTGATTGGCCACCACCAGGAAGCTGTGGTCGTGGATGTGGAAGGCTTCCCAGTCCAGAGCGGCATGAGTCTCCAAAGTCTGGTGACGGAGGAACCGCCGGCGCCGCTGGTTCCACCGGTAGATGACTGACAGCTCGGGCTCAGCCTCCCCGGAGTTCGCCACCACCAGGAAAAACTGATGAGAAGAGGCAAGACGTGTTAAGGTACAAATATATTGGAAAGAATTCCTATGGTGAACTTAGATAACAACCATATGGTAACACAGCTAAAGGTCAGCCAGAGGTCAAAGGTCACACTGCTAGAGATCAAAGAGCCCTAACAATAAGAGAAAGTAGTCTGGCTAGTAAAGAGTATTTCTTTTTTATTTCACCTGCTCTCCGACGGTGAAGTGTTTCCAGGCTCGAGCCTCCTGAGTGCTGATGTTCTGGTAGAGCTGGAAGGACCCATTCCTCCATTTGTAGATACCCGAACCGGGACGGGAGTCCCTAAGGGACCAGAAGGTTAGTCCCCCACATCCTCTAGACTGTCACCAGGTCAACCACCCACTTCCTGTTTGTAGATCAGTACCTGTTGGCTGCAGCCAGGAACAGACCTTCAGACGGGATGGAGAAGACCTCCACATCAAAGGTCTCTGAGCTGGTGTACAGATCCTGGTGGTCCTCCACGTAGTCCAGACGCTGCTGATCTGCAGAGGACGAGTAATACGGCGGAGGAGACACTTCACTGGTCTCCTTCCGTTTGCTGGATCAAGAATATCTACTATTTACTTCAGCCATGGAGACTGTGGAGTTCCTTCATATTTTCACTTTTTATATATTTTGTGCATTACCTCGAGGCCACAGTCCTCATCGCAGGCACAATGTGGAAGCGTGGAACAAACGTCATTTTTTAATAAGATTTATTTTAGGCCTCACATGGCCTTGGCCCTAACCCGCTGAAATGGATTGTTTCAGACAGAAGGTGAATACAGGGATATTCACACAGGCAACACGAGAAAAAGCATATTATTATTTATGTGCTAGTGGAAAGTCTGAATACAAGTATGAGTCTTGAAATGCATGATGTGTCTTCTTTAAACATTAGCATATTTTATAATAATCAGAGGGTCAAATAATAAATGTGGAATCAAAATAACGGATTTTAGCAGATCAGCTTGACTATTTTTGTCAATATATGACTTACTGACTCAAAGACTTAAAATGAAAACTATATTGTGGTGTGGTTATTTTTATTGTCCTATAAATCTATATGATCATCATGGATGTAAACATGTGACAGATGTGGAGACTCACGCTGCAGCAGAGTCCTCCAGGAGAGCCCCTCACAGATGAACAGGCCTTTCCTCTGAGCGTTGAACCACAGCTGACCCTCTTCTGCACCAGCGCATGGAGGAGGATCACCCAGGGTCACTCTGGCCTCCGCTTCTAAAGCACGACAACAACATGGTTCATCAAACCGCTATGGAATCATTATTCTGCCTGATATCCATTCACCACTCCTAAAAACTAGGAAAACACATGTTGTGGAGTTTCATTGAAATCACATTCTTACCGCTAACAGGAGTGATGGAAAACTCCTTTTTTACTCTGGAACAATCCTTCAGCGACACAGAACCACAAACGGACTAAATCAGTAAGCGTATCTGACTGAAGGTCAGACGGAAGGTAACCACCTGTGATGTATCATCATTACACATGAACCTGCAGGGACAACAGAGTGCTGAGCTCTTTACACATGGCCGGTTCTTAGCGCTGTAAAAGGAGGGCCTGGTAGCAATATTACAAGCCCGCTGAGCAATCTCTCACCTGTTAGCTTTAGCCTCAGCTAGCTAACACGACATCACCTGAGATTTCAAATCAGGTCACTCACCTCACATAAATGAAACAGAAAAGACAGATTAGCTGATTGAGGCGTATTTAAGCTGTGGGTCGCAGAGGGTTTAGTCTGCTGAACTGTATCAACGTTACTTCTGTGAGCCTGAGGCTGCTCAAGCTCCACCTCAACAAACGTCTCTCTTCTTCTTTCAGCTTGATATCAGTTTCCTCACTGTGACACAATAATCACATGGTGGGGGCAGCCGATCAGTGCTATGGACTCACAAAGCTATGCTAGCATTAGCGGGGAGGATATCGTGTTCCTCATACTGCCCAGTCCTTGTGCTAAGCTAGGCTAACCATGGGATCTGCAATGGACAGATAGGTGAATCTGATCGCCTGAAAGATGCAGTGTTGCAGTGACATTTCCAAAGTAAATAGACTGTAACAGGAAGAAGAAGACACCTGTATCAGGTAGTCAGCACCTGTTATGTTGGAAACGCACATCAAACAGTAGGGCAGACACCTGCTGTCCATCACACACACACACACACACACACACACAGGAAGCAGCTCAGGTTGCTGAATCCCTGATACCATCACAACCTGAACCACCTGCAGTCACAGGCCACTCAGGTGAAGCCGTCCACTGGTTCTGATCCAGGTTTCAGGATCCGGGCTGAATATATAATTGTTTTAGAGTTTTGAGGAAAAGGACTTTCTTTGTTTTATTCAGGCATGTTTCCCACGGACCAACGCGTATTAATCTGAAAGCCCAATAGTCAAAGGATAGAAAAAGTTCCCTTACTCGCTGTGATTCAACCTAGACTAGTGGTCCCCAACCACCAGGCCGCGGACTGGTACCACTCTGTGAGCCAATGATACCGATCCGTAGAAAGAATAAATAACTTATTTTCATTTGACTCTTTTTTTCTAAAAACTGTTTTCTTTTTAAAATGACCAATTTCTCTCCCAGTTACATGCGCTTGTTCCTCTTGACATGTCCATGTCCACTCATGTTTATGGCCACACCATCAAGACAACATGAAGACAGAACAATGAAACCAGTCCGTGAGGCAAAAACAGGATGGGGGCCATTGCCGTGGACAAATACACAACACCGTTTTTTTCACCAAAAGCAAAAAAACTGAAATCTGTCTGATGTGGTGAAGAAGTATGGCTAGCTGTCAGCGGTTGGCTTAACCAACCATTCTTCACAACAAAAATAGACTAATTGTGTCTCTGGTGTTTCACTAGCCGATGAGCCACAGTTCAGTGTGAGACAGCCCCCTCCTCACCGTATGGGTATACTGGGCCTCGCTGCTCAGGCTGCAGAGCCGGGGACTTTAGGACCTGGGGGATGGACAGCTCAGCCAGGCTGGGGTCAGAGGTCGGGCACAGTCTGGGCGTGGCATCTGAACCAGGAAGCAGAACTAGCTGACGCAGAAGACCCTGAAAACAGAAAGTTTGAATGTTTTATCGGATAACGGTAACGTTTGATGCTAACTTTACATTAACAATTAAGCACACAATATTCAAACTAATCACACTCAATATTTGATACTAACATTACTTAATCCGTGAACTAATCTGACCTGATGTTTAATACGTTAATAACGTACACAATGCATGAACCCCAGTGTTTGGTGCTAACGTTAACCACACAATGCATGAACCCCAGTGTTTGGTGCTAATGTTAACCACACAATGCATGAACCCCAGTGTTTGGTGCTAATGTTAACCACACAATGCATGAACCCCAGTATTTGGTGCTAACGTTAACCACACAATGCATGAACCCCAGTGTTTGGTTCTAACGTTGACCACACAATGCATGAACCCCAGTATTTGGTGCTAACGTTAACCACACAATGCATGAACCCCAGTGTTTGGTGCTAACGTTGACCACACAATGCATGAACCCCAGTTTTTGGTGCTAATGTTAACCACACAATGCATGAACCCCAGTATTTGGTGCTAACGTTGACCACACAATGCATGAACCCCAGTTTTTGGTGCTAATGTTAACCACACAATGCATGAACCCCAGTATTTGGTGCTAACGTTATCCACACAATGCATGAACCCCAGTGTTTGGTGCTAACGTTAACCACACAATGCATGAACCCCAGTGTTTGGTGCTAACGTTGACCACACAATGCATGAACCCCAGTATTTGGTGCTAACGTTAACCACACAATGCATGAACCCCAGTGTTTGGTGCTAACGTTAACCACAGAATGCATGAACCCCAGTGTTTGGTGCTAACGTTAACCACACAATGCATGAACCCCAGTGTTTGGTGCTAACGTTAACCACACAATGCTTGAACCCCAGTTTTTGGTGCTAACGTTCACCACACAATGCATGAACCCCAGTGTTTGGCTCTAATGTTAACCACACAATGCATGAACCCCAGTGTTTGGTGCTAACGTTAACCACACAATGCATGAACCCCAGTGTTTGGTGCTAACATTCACCACACAATGCATGAACCCCAGTATTTGGTGCTAACGTTAACCACACAATGCATGAACCCCAGTGTTTGGTGCTAATGTTAACCACACAATGCATGAACCCCAGTGTTTGGTGCTAACGTTAACCACACAATGCATGAACCCCAGTGTTTGGTGCTAACGTTAACCACACAATGCATGAACCCCAGTATTTGGTGCTAACGTTAACCACACAATGCATGAACCCCAGTGTTTGGTGCTAATGTTAACCACACAATGCATGAATCCCAGTGTTTGGTGCTAACGTTAACCACACAATGCATGAACCCCAGTGTTTGGTGCTAATGTTAACCACACAATGCATGAACCCCAGTATTTGGTGCTAACGTTAACCACACAATGCATGAACCCCAGTGTTTGGTGCTAACGTTAACCACACAATGCATGAACCCCAGTGTTTGGTGCTAATGTTAACCACACAATGCATGAATCCCAGTGTTTGGTGCTAACGTTCACCTTGTACGTAAACACACAAAACATCTCTCAGGTTTGTAGCCCGAATGAACGTCTGAGGTCTCAATCCTATATTCCAACTCACAGTGAAGCGCCCCCTCAAACTCCTCCTACTGCCGATGAAGAAGCTGGACCCTTTGGTGCTTAGAGTGCTGGGGAACGACTGGACCTGTTTACTGGGAGACAGGAAACCAGTTAGATTCATTTCTACTGGTCTCAACTGGTCTGTGTGCTGGTGTACTCATCTGGAAAATACCAGGGATGTGCTGTTAATTGTATTTACCAAACTGAACCAAAGTTAAAAGCAGGCTAAGACAGACTTACTCAGTCTAAATTAAAGCAAGCCGAGCTGGACTGAACCAGGCTTCAGTTAACAAAGGTGCACCAGGATGAAGCAGACAGAACCACGTGGAACTGCCTTGAACTGAGTCAGACTGAAATGAACTGAACCAAACCCAAAGAAACCAACCAAGCTCAACTGGACCAAACCAGTATGACTTGACCAGTCTGAAGTGGACTAAGCTGGACCAGGCTAAACCAGTCAGGTGGTCTGATGGCCACTCACAGCTCAAGAGAAAGTCCACAGTCGATGGTCAGCGTGGCGTAGAGTCCGGTGACAGCTAGCACCACTGTGTGCCAGCGGTTGTCATCAAGTCCAACATCCTTGAAGCTCAGTCGGCTCCGTCTACCGACACCGAGGGCCGCAGACAGGAAATAGAGGCGGTTCCCTGAGACCCGCAGGCCCAGCAGCAGCGAATCAGATGCCTCTTCCACCAAGGAGAAGATGTACTCATTCCTCTGGAAACAGAGAGGGGGCAAGTAAAACCAGTGTGAACCAGAGCCAAGCGGACCAGGCTCCATCAGTTCTACGGGTTCACCTTCGGTTTCAGTCTCTGTATCTTGAAGGTGACGACCAATGAGAACTCAGCAGGGAAATACTCGCAGTTGCTGAAGATTTGAGAGGCGGGAAAAGTCAGCGTTGTTGCCACAGTGCCGACCAATCGGAGACCTCTGGACCCTTTGGACTGAACCATCTGCAACTGATGGTCAATTCACTGATCATTTGTTCATCCAGCAGTCATTCATCGCTCCTCTTCCCATCTCTCCCCCCAACTGGCCTACCTGTGGGGGCGGGACTTGTCCCGGGTGCGGCAGGGCTCTGGCCAACAGGTCAACAGGTAGCAAGTCTGAGGAGGACAAAGATACTATGATACAAACACTACGTACAGAACATTTACAGAGAATAGTAAACTATGTCTTTTATCGTTTGTGTTGTATACATTTTGTCATGTTTTACCCGGCGGAACAAGACCTTCACCCCCAAGGTCACGTATAATATTATTATTATTATGTCAATGGTGTCAGAAATTAATTGAAAGAGACATAGAGGGAGTTAGTTTTGGGGCTGGAATTCCCCTTTAAGCTCCTGTAAGGCGGTCTGTGTGTTCTGCTGCTGCAGAAAGATCAATGGAGGATGAATGGAGGATGAATGGAGGATGAATGGAGGGAGGGGGCGACATGCACAGAAACCGATCTCACATTTCAACAAAGCACAAAGCCGCTCAACGTTGTCTGTATCACATGAAACACAGTACCCACATATACTGTACACAATGTTAATATCAGGGGTTTAGTAAGAGGGGAAAATCCATCAATGGAGGAGGGATGAGACGTCACTTTCTTTCAGATGCTGAACTTATTCCTCACAGTTCTAGTCTTATTAGCTCTGACTTAGCTCTGCTAAAGGCATATTAGCGTTAGCTCTGACTTAGCTTCCACCTTTTGACCCTCTCTCCAGTCAACTGAAGGCAGCGGACAACAGGATGCGTTGATGACTAACTTGTAAATAGGAAAGACTTCACAGTTGAAGTAAACTTCCTTTCCCTCTTTTTATTGTAGCAGGGCTTCTCTGCCCTCCGGTCTTCATACTCGGTTAGGACAAACACATACAAAGTGTCTCATTCGTATTGCTTTTTGGTGAAGGTTTTGTTAAGGTTTCCAGTGTCTGTTCTAAGCTAAGCTAGCTAAGCTAGCGTCCTGGTACCGGTGCAGGGTCTCCAGCTTTGGACTCCAGTGGTGAGCATCACCCAGGTGAGCAGCAGGGAGCGACGCGCTAACATCACACCAGCCACGCAGGTCTGACTCGCCCTCACTGCGCTGCCTCTGGTCCGGCGCCGCTCACCGCCATCGTACGGCCGGACTGGATCCAGTCGGAGGTTCTGATCTTCTGTTTATTGAAATGTCTGTTAAACAGATGATGATTATTATTGTTGTTAGTGAAGCGGCATTTGAGGCACATTAAACGGCACAGCAGCGCTCTTTGAGGAGAGTCACTAAAAGTCTTAAAGCAGAAGACGTTGTTCTCATGTAGTCGGCAGCTCACACAAGTACAACTGGTTCCTCTTACATCATTTGTGTGCTCAGTGGACTTTTGTATTTTATGTTTGTGCATGAAAGCATAGTTGAGTCAGTTATAAAATGTTTATGTATGTTGTGTCAGCTTATTATTGTTGGTTTGAATTCAAATGCAGCTAATTGAATGTAAAAGAGAATACTTCATACTGAGTGTGGTTATATACATAGTTGCTTTCATATATATACATATATATATATATGTATACAGTACCAGTTAAACGTTTGGACGTTTTTCTCTTTGAGTGTGTCCAACTTTTGATAATAAATGCTAATAAATGAAACATATTTAAAATATTAGATCTGATCTGAAGGAGCTGATGATGGTTTTCAAGGTGACAGTGGACACGCCTCCTTTAAAGTATGGATTTCTATCTGCACCTTTATCCATAATTAGAATCTTTAAATCTTCAGAAGATCTTTAGAATACTCAATAATCAAATAATTTAGATATTTCAACTGAAACCATCAAACTTATTTTCTCTGAAGCTCATTTTATTCAAATGGAGAATCAAACCTGGTCAAAGGGTCAAAGGTCATCCAGCCGTCTGCGCTGACCCTGGATCAACTAGTGGTCCAGTGGAGGTCGTCCCTTCCTCTACTACTCATTGTTCTCTTGAGTTGTCCTTCTGTCCACAAAATATAAAATGATAACAAAAGAAGTCCAGTGAAAATCAGATTCATTAAACTCTTCAAACGATTCACTTCTGATCTTTAAACTTCTGTCCATCCGTCTTCTGCTCCAGCCGCTGTCCTTTAGGTGTGAAGGAGAGACAGACAGCTCACCTGCAGCCCACAGGCTCGCTCGCCCATATTTAAATATACCTGAGGGGGAGGAGCTGGAGAGAGAGAGAGAGGAGGGGAGAATATCTCTCTGTCTCTTAATGTATATATATATATATATATATATATATATATATATATATATATATATATATATATATATATACATACATACACAAGTACACACATATACAAGTATATATATACACATGTCAATACAATATGTATAAGTTTATATAAATATAGTGTACTATATATGTATACGAGAGACATATATATATATACTATACATAGCAGTACATATTTACTCATACTATATATATGTAGTTGGATATCTGACTAGTTTTATCTTTTATTAGGAACTAGGACATGCTAAGCTTACCTTAACCTGGTATATCCATATATGTACTCATATTTACGTTTATATATATATATTTTACTATATATAAACCTATACATACGCCTATGTATATATATATATATATATTAAGTTAAGCTAACCGTACCATATCCTGGTTATTGATAAAAGTTGTCAGATATCAAATTTGACTGAAGAGCAAAATGTTGCGAGTAAGCGAACGGTTAATATTTCGATTTAAATGTCTCACACATAGTGGTCTTTACAGTTTAAGTGGCATTTTTTGATTTGCCTTTTATTTTCCGATAACACACACACACACACACACACACACACACACACACACACACACACACACACACACACAGCATCTGTGCAAACATTCTCTGCCTGATGGCCTTTGATGATGTTTTTGTTGAAGGCAGGTTGAGGCAGGAAGCTGTTGTAATCTCACACGCACAAACACACACACTTTAACCTCCTTTGATGTCTGAACATTACCCATGATCCTCTATTGTCAGAGACGCGAATGACAACCAATCACTGATCGTCTTTAGAATGTTGTACTAGTACCTTTACTACCGATAGTAGTTTAAAAATCTCGTACTACTCTTCAGTGTTTGAGTTCAGGTTGTTTTGTCCACCTGATCAACGAGTAATCAATTAGTGATGATCAGAGACCGTTATGGTTTCCACTCAGTTTATTCTTTCAAAATAAAAGACAAACGCTCATTGTCTTGAACTTTAAAACCAGAGGTACACATTTTTTAAAAGCGAGCTCAAAGCAGCCGAAGCTTCTCTGAACCTGATAAAGTGCTTCGAGTCCAACTAAGAGGAGCTGAAGGAGCTTCTACCCTCCTCCTCCATCAGTTTCATCATCTCCCCACTCCTCCATCAGCATCAAACTCAACCCTCCGATTGGTGCATTAAGGTTTCTGAAGACGAGATCACACTTCACTACCATGTGTTACAAACCTTTATTGTGAAAGGGTTGCCATTCACTTAACTGACTTCTTTCCCACCAGGCCTTTCATAATAAAAGACACCTTTGGACTTTTATTTTCTAGTTCTGGAAAGAGTTGCTCATTTTAATCTTCAGGATGGAAGTAGGGAGCTTTTTTATTCTTCATTGGTATATTTGTTAGAATCTTTATTGATTAGTGTGATTGGTTTAGTCCGGATGTCATGAGTGTTTTGCATGTGACCTGAACGCATCACCTAATAATATTGATAACGATGATAATAACAAAGAACCTGCTGGTGTCAGTCCACTCGGGTCTTCTTTTGTCCACCTTTAGAAAATTCTGCCTTCATCCAAAGGTCAGCAAAGTCCGTCCATCAGTTTATTGATCCGTCCGTGTCAGCAGCACTCAGGGTGTGTGTGTGTGTGTGTGTGTGTGTGTTCCATGGCGACGCTGCAGCGTCAAAAAGGCAGCAAGTGTTTGTGAGCCACAAACAGAGAGGCGTCCCTCAGCCCTAAAGACCCAGAGACTTCCGCACCACCTTCTGAGCCAGTTTGTAGAACTGCTCCCGGTCATCCCGCCACATCTTGGAGGCGTCCACGTTGGCCCCACTCTCATCGTTGGGCTCTGGGAGTAGAGGAGTGAGGAGACGAGAGAGAAAGCATCAGAGCTAAACGTCAACATGAGTCGACATCCAGGTGTGAAGTTGTGTTGTTGTACCTGCCAACATGCTGACCACAGACAGCAGGATCTTCTCCACACTCTGGACCGGACTCCACCTCTCTGCACTGCTCTCATAGCCCATCGGATCATCTCCTGGAGCGTGAAGGATGGAGATGCACACCCGACCGTCCGGATAGACTACGGGGGGAGGAGGTAGGTAATGTCACAGAGAGAAGTCCGGGATGTCGCACTTCTACACAGTCTAGAAACGGTTGGAAGAAGAGAAGTCACCGTCACACTAAAAGTCCAGAGGCTTTTACTTTGAAAGCTGAGAAACTTTAATGCTGAAAGTGGAGACACTTCGACAGTGAGCGTCAGCGTGTTGATGTGGACAAAGGGTACTTATTGTAAAGTGAATTTGTATTTATCGCGTATTTGTTGGAGTAGTTTCAGGGGGCGTGTTCACATTGACTTTAAAGCTCCTGTACATTGAGGCCGGAAATGAGAAGATCAGTGGATCTGGAGTCACATCTGGTGGTGTGTTATCATGCGGAGATCAGCTTCCTGTCATGGAGGTGCAGCTTTTAACAGCTGCTGCTACTGCGGAACAAAAGGGCGTGTTTCAAGTCCAGAATGATCCTCCAGTTGGTTCTTTCCGACAGTTTGAGTCTCTGCAGCTCTGCTCAGTGTTTTCTTCTTCAAATGTTTCATCTTTATCTGCAACAGTTTGCTGATGGAGATCCAGGAAGCTCGGGTCCATGCTGGCGTCTGTGATGATGATGATGAGGGGTCAGGAGTGTCCCATCCTCTAATCAGTATAGAGCCCTCTCAGACAGTCTTCTTTCTGGGACATCATCGCTCCGGTTGCAGTCCACTAATCACAGCGCTAATGACAGCATGCTAACTACATGCCAACGGCGCGTCTCGACAGGTCAAATGACGGGTTTACAGTCAAGCGCAGGGTCAGCAGGTTTCTGTAGTCATGGCGACTACAGAACTGTAGGAAGGGAAATCAATCCCGGGACTTACTGTTGGGGTGAAACATGTCACAGGTGAACCTCATCTTCGGAGGACTGAGAGGATAATCGGACGGGAAACTGAGGACGGCCGGAAACACGCCTCCTTCAAAACAGGTATCCTGAGGACCCCTGAAACACACGGTGGAGAACCGGGTTAGAAGCCTGCGAGGTTCCTGTAAGAGCCTCAAGAGAATAAAACCCTTAACAAGAAACGCCATGTAGGGTTCTAGTGGTCTCTCTCATGGTACCGCAGGAGGCTGGTTTTTGGTAGATACTTCTAGCTTACTTTTGGGAGACTAAGAATGGTTTGAGGTTCTTGTGGTCGCTTGAGAGGAACCATGGTTCCTCTCAGAGGTTCTTAGGGTCTCGACTACACTGAAGGGGTTCTAGTGGTCAAATAGGGAGTTCTAACAGGCCTTGGGCCTTTGAGTTATCGGATTCCTAGGAGGTTCTCATAGTTCATTAGGGAGGCCTAGGTCCAATCCTGCCCCTAAACCCTAACCCTGACCCCTCAATATGAATGTCACCATGACAACGTCAAAAATATGATTTACAATTGAGGCCATTTATTTACGTTTTACTCTCATTTTAACGTCTTTTAGGTTCTTATGGGATCAGGTCACGTTTGACATTTTTTCTTGTAGAAGTTGCTTCGATGACCAAGTATTAGGGCTGCAACAACGAATCAATGAAATCGATCAAATTAGATTATGAAAAGCATTGGCAACGAATTTCATTATTGATTTGTTGCGTGATTATTACGTCATTCAATGAGTTGCGTGCAGAACAAAAAATGAAAAATAAAAGCGGCGAGCCGACGTAGAGGAAAGAGGAGACGTCTTAGACTTCCAACGGCCGACGGGGCGGTTGATGAGGAACCGAAGTCAGTTGTTTTTTTAGCGTGAGAAATTGGACGTGTGGCGGAGTGCGTTACTAAAGACCGGAATGAGTGACTGTCACGCTCGATGCGTGACACCTGAGAGCCCTGAAAGGCCCCGTGTCAAAGGCAAAACATGTAGCATAGACGGAACCTGGCACGGGAGCACCACGCGGTCCGTGTATGAGTGAAGAACGTAAGGAGCCTCCAGCAGCTCTGCTGCTGCTGCTGCTGTTTACTCGTCATCCAGCTGATCAAGCTAGCGTTAGCGTATTTTTCAATCTGTGGTCTTGTATATATTTTGTGCTTTGTCCCATATCGGTTATTGTTGACATATATATATATATATATATATTGTACTTTTTAATGCGGTCATATACGGTAGTTAGTGCGCTTGTGCACATATTGTGGGTTATTCGGTAGTCGATGTTATGCCTGTAAAGGGACACACACACACACACACACACACACACACACACACACACACACACACACACACACACACACACACACACACACACACACACACACAAAGAAGCCTCTAATGCATTTATTACAAATGCCATTTTAAATGAATCTCATAGGACTTGGATGTTTTTTAGCTGTACTTAGATTGGGTGTGTACGTTTACTTAACTCGCACTACAATAGTAATAATTTCATGAATAAGCTTCAAGTTAACATGGGGGTGTGTTTGAGTGAAGTTCTGACTTCAAAACAAATCCTGTTAAATTTTCAGATTTGTATTTTTCTTTATAAATTATTATGTTCAAGGGGCAACCTGTACTTTCTGGAGTATTTTTGCAATGTGAATTTGCAGTTCTGCCTTAGAAAAAAGGGTTGGAAAGCTTTTTAATGCTGTTTTTTAAATCTGATTCATCGATTAATCGAAGAAATAATCGACCGATTAATCGATTATCAAAATCGTTAGTTGCAGCCCTACTAAGTATATTTTATATCGATGACATAAATCAATAGTTAATTAAAATAACCAGATATTCATATTTTTGGACGTCTTGGCTCTAAAATGTTGTTCGACTGATGATTAGAACTTTTTCTGATGTCACCGTTGCCAAGGGCGACGGAGCAGAGAGCCAGGTAGCTCCACCGGAGTGTTGTCCCAGGTAATTATGGGGTGTAAAGACGTTATGTCACACAGTTGGGCTGTGGATGAGCTGCGGGTTAAATTGAAGGGCAGCTTGATGCAGACTGCAGCATTAAAAATAACAAGTTTCATAACAACGTAAAGTCAGACACGTTCATCCAGCCACAGTTGCTTCACTTCAGTAATGTGAGAGATTTAATCGCAGAGACACAGGACAGCGTGATGGCCACGTGTAGAAAGGGTGAATTCATCGTGTTCCACAGCCAGACGACAATCAGATGACTTTTAAAAAGCTTGTTTTCTGAATGGTGTCTGGGTTTATGTGTGCTAGGCTATGCTAACAGTGTAGCTGTGATACAGCCGTGACGTCATAATTTACCGACAGCCAATAGGTTCTACATTTGGTTCGCTTCTGCAGTGGGAACCCCCAGGCTTCAGCTATTCTCACTCTTAATCCTTAGCAAAGCAACTACAGAAGCAGAAGGGTCGTAGTCAGCATTCACTCAGTAATCCGTCATGTTTACATACATGTCTGATCACATGTTTATACTCACATAATAAGAGCCTCCCATTCAAAGAAGTTCTCCTCATTTGCTGGACCTGCAGAAACAAACACAATCGTGTTAATCTATAAGTGTGACACACACATAAAGTCTGATGCCGTTATCTACAGGTAAAACACACTAAACTCTCGGTTGAGTCTCACCTGCAACGATCCCCTCAGGTGGGTTCAGAGTCAGCTCTGCAACACATGTAATCGGGGGTTAGCTTCGGGTTAGCATGCTGGAGCGCAGTGGTGACGTCTGATCGATCCCACACTCTGAACGTCACCTGTACAACTACGTTATTTATAACAACGAGAGAAACACACGCCGCTATGCTAACACGCTAACAGCGATGTGCTACACAACAAACAACCCGACTAACTAACATGTTGAAACAGGACTCCATGTTTTTCCAAAACTAACCTGGTAGCTAGCTAACAGGTTAGCCATTGCTAGCTAACACCCGCACGCCAAGCTCTCGTTAGTAATCAAACAAACGTGGCAGTCGCAGCATTGAAGCTCCTCGAGCTCCTTCCTTATTTTGGAACACAAACAAACAGCTTCCCGCTACAGTGTTTGGGTCAAAGTGTTCTTATTTAATGAGTTGACGGTGTACGAGGAACCGGCACAGACGAGCTGCTCCCACCGATGTTACATAATGAGTCCTGTAACCGCGTTATTGCTGCTGCGGGTCAGAAAAAAACATGCCGAACTTAAGTTACACGTCAGCTTTATATCACGCCTCAGTGCTCGACACACAACAACGAAGCCCCGCGGAGGAAGGGTGCCGCTATATCTGCTGTTCGTTCAGTCGGTGCGGGAAGATCACAGGATCTCATGGGACTGTTAGCTTAGCTGCTAGCCAACGTGGTTTCCCGTTTGCGGAAGGTTCCGTTAACTCACGTTTGTACTCCGCCATGAGCCTCTTCAGCGCGGTGCCGGCCATCGCACTGTAACGGAGGAACACGAAGCAGAGATCAGCTCCAAGTTTCACTGTTGTTCTTTTACCCCGCAACGAGTCACGCGCTCAGCGCATGCGCATTTAGTGATGTTTGCGTGAACTTGTCAGCTGACAGCGTCCCCCACTGGCGCACCGCGACGACGTCATGACGTCAGTGTGTTATTATTATGCAGTTGTATTGAGTTTTCTTATTTATGTGTATATACAAAAACCAGACACATGTATAAATAGTTTATTATAGAGAATGTGTGTCTTTATAAGTGAAATTTATCATTAATAGTGTTGATCTGAAATTTGGACATATTTATGTATATCTGTATATATATAATGTAAATAAATGTGTTTATTTTATATTTTTATATATACAAATAAAATTACCATACATGAAGCATATTACAATACATGAAGAGTTTATTACTACCTTAATAAAATCCCAGCACTATTGTAACGACTCAATGTTGAACTTGGAAGAGAGACAATATACAAGCTGTGTCCCAATGTCGCTAGGCTGCACCCTTAAGGACGCATTCGTCAACCGCATACGTCACTTCCGCTACGACTCAGCTGTCCCGTTTGGTCGGCTCCTCTGAACGTGGTCGAGGGACGCAGCCCTCCAGGAGCCGGTTTGGAGAACACATCTGATCTATCCTTTGCAACCAAGCTTTTTACTATCAAGTGAAGCAGGTTGCTAGGCAACGGGAGCAGTGGAGGTAAAGCTGATGACCCAAGCAGGCCAGACCGTCCCATTTCAGAGACCGCTCGGTAAAGCGTATGCAGTTGTTGGAGGACCAGGCTAGACTAGAAGGCTGGGTCCTCCAAGGATGCAGCCTAGGGAATTGAGACACAGCTACTGAGTTGGAACAGCAAGTTACAGACACATGCACCACTCACTCTGTCACCATGACGACCACACAGACTCACACCAGGGCCCCGTTCCTGGCTAACTGAGTTAGCCGGATAATTTTCAGTATAAGATTACAAAGATCAGGCTTTTCGGTTCCACAAAGCAAGTTTGGCTAAATCACCATAGCAACACATCCAAAAAGTTGAACCTGCTCCTGCGCAGGTTCATTTGAGCCAGCTTTATCAGTTTGCCACTACAGCTGAGCAAGTACAGCTGCTGCCAGAAGCTGCACTTACATCACATTACAGGTCATTTAGCTGACGCTTTTATTCAAGGCAACTAACATTACATTTTTAACCCATGGCTTTTTACATTATGGCCTGGGGAGCAATTAGGGGTTAGGTGTCTTGCTCAGGGACACTTTGACATGGGACATGCAGAAGCCAGGGATTGAACTGCCAACCTTGCAGTTCCCAGCAGTTGGGCACATTCTCTCTACTCCACGTGCCACCGTCAACCCCAGGGTTTTTACAGATCACATCTGTAATCCACATCCAGATGTGCTAGTTTAGTAGTAATCAAATGACACAACAGCTTGTTTTGTGATAGATTTATTTCTGTGTTCTCGTACATGTCATCTGCAGCTCATCAAACCGATATATATGTTTATACAAGTATCACGTACGTAAATCTAATACAGAACAAACTGGTCCACGCCGTTACCACAGTGACAAACTAAGTGCTGGAGAGAGAATGATAATATCACAATAATACATATGTGCATTAAATAAGTCTAGAAAATAAAACCTTCTGCAAACACAACAAAAACAGTTCAAAGGTTAGATGATCGCAAACACAATCTCGCACACACACGCGCACACACACAACACACACATGTGAACTATTACGTTTCTTTGGTTGAAAACTTTTTTTTAAAACATACACATATACATATATATATATATATATATATATATATATATATATATATATATATATATATATATATATATATATGTGTGTTTTAAACCACCAACACAGAGCTTGAATGTGAAAAAGGAAATAGTTTGCCTGATTGCTTCCCCAAAGGATCAGAGGTCACTGGGAGCGTGTTCCATTTCACCTTAACTTATTTAAATGAATTCACTTTCTAGCAAAGTTATTTACCAAAATCATATAGACAATATGTTATTTTTAGGAAGGGAAAATCTGTATGAAAATGACTCTGCATATTAGAAATATATTTCTTAATCATAAATACGATTTGTATCTTATATCTTGTAAAGTTGAGATTTCAAATATTTTTTTGAAATAGTTAATAAGCAAAAACAAGAAATCTAAGTAGAAAATACATATTTATTAAGTTTTTTAAGTTTTCTTTCCTTGAAGTGAGTTTACGAGTTAAGAGTTGTACCAAAGAGTATTACAGCAATATTTTGAACTAGCATTCTGTGAAAACACGCTAACTAACGTGTTGTCAAACCACCAGGAAGGAAACATACTTTTATAGTCCCAAAAGGTCTCAGAAGTGATTTGATAAAAAGTTGTTCCATTTGGCTTTAAGGCCAATAGCGTGATTACATCCACCAAAAAGTTTAAAATACGAAGAAGGGAATAAAAATGATCAAAAGGAAGAAGCAAAGCGCCACGTTCAACATTACCTGATTACAAACAAAAATGTGGTTTTGTGATGTCATTGTTTTCTCTCCCTGAGTCTCACAGTCACAGAGTCCGGTTCGTTAAGGCACTTATTTTATGGGTCATGAGCAGTTCAGAGCCACTAGAAGATTTCATCACCAAGAAATCCTGCCCGGCATTGTAAAACTCATTACTGTGCTATGTTGTTATGTTGAATGCTAGCATCACTACGCCTCCGTTAGCTAACATGAGCCACTGTCAGCTAATATGCTAAGATCACTGAGCCAATGTTAGCTACAAATCTAGTTTCTGCTCACATTATGCACACACTGTATTCTGGTGGTTCAGAACAGACTCAAATAACTCCTGACGTTAGCTATTTTTTGTTAGCTAACGGTGACCCAAACTATGTTCTTATAAACTAATGCTTGCGCGTTACCAAGCTAAAACATTATTGGAGTGGAACTAGCTAACAGATGCTAGTTAGCTGTCAATAAGAAATGAGTTCTAGTGAGGTTTATTATGCAGTTGTTTTCAGTTGCTTTTGAGTCTTTACCACTCCATCTAAAACCCCGCTAACGCCATGCTTAGGGTCACTGTTGACCACCTCCTCACCCGGCCTCCCACAGGGAGACGGTTCCCATGCTCCAACTCGGCAGGGTTTGGTTCTACAAAGGCCCACGCCCAAACAACTACAGCTCCCATGAGTCTTTGGGGGAGAAGCCCTGGGAGCTGCACACAACAGGAGTAGCACCTCCTCATCAATGTGTTTCTGAGTTGGCACTGGGATGTTTTGGTGTTGAACAACGACATCTCGGCTTTTTAACCCTCCAAGCTGTAGTTGTATTTTTTTAGGAATATTTAGGACCAGTCGTTGTGTTTCTATAAACATTTCTTCATGCTCATTTGCTCAAACACACAGTTCCATTGATAGATTTAGGAAACGGTTATGAATAAGTAACAAACTCTAAGGCCACATGACTGAAGTGACCGTAGTCACCCTTTGCTTTCTGGACCTTCTAAAGCCTCGAGGTTCTAGAGTCTAACTGTCATCATCTGTATTGAAGAAAACTTGAAACTAGAGATTGAGACCACAATCTCATGTTTACAAAGTTTTTTTGAGGGAATAAATTAAAAGAGAAGAAGAGTTGTTTTCTCACAGACCCTGGTGGTCACTACGGATAATGACTGTTATCTCTGTTATCTTTACTGGCAGATCACAAAGATTTAGACAAGTTTAATATATCCAGACGATGATGGAAACGGTCATAATTCACATCTTTTTGTGACATATTAATGGAAAAACAACTGTGTCTCTGAACTCACAAGCGCCACCTGTTGATTAGTGGATCTGTGTGTTTGTACAAGATGTGAATCATGAACTTTTTATTAATATAAGTTTATATTTGAATGTGATGTAAGACCAAAAATGCAATGCAATTAACTGTCAGAGGAAATCCACCAATGGATGGAGGCTAACCAGAGGGGGACAGGGCTTCTGTTCTCCAGCATAGCATACAGCGGTGACACATTACTGGTCATGACGAAACCACACCCATCTTCTCCTCCTGTTTCCTGTGGGAGTCCAGACCAACACATGCCCTATTCCTCCTCCTCCTCCTCCTCCTCTTCTTCCTCTTCCTCTCCGGCCATCACCTCCACCAGCAGCTCGGCGGTGCAGGTCGCCTCCCCGAGACTGTTGACAGCCTTCACCGTGTACTTGGCATCGTCGTCGCCCGACACCTGCAGAGGAAGTGAGGACCAAGTGAGGACGAGGCAAAGAGGAAGTGGAGAGAGGGTGAGGAGGAAGTTAGGACGTGATAAAGAGGAAGTAGGAGAAGGTCAGGACAAGGTGAAGAGGAAGTAAGGAGGAAGGGAGGCATAAGGGAGTTGACCTCTGACCTCTGAAATGACCAGACTGCAGTTTCCATCCTCGTCGTAGTCGATCTGAAAATGTCGCGTCTCTTTGATCGGCTGCTCATCTTTGTACCAGACCACCTCTGGATCGGGGAAACCTTGAGAAACGTTACCGTATTATCACCGTTCTTTGGTGGCTATTCATTCACTTTATTTAGTTACTGAGATATTTATTTTAAGGTTGTCAATAGATAAAATACATTTATTAATAACACATCATTCATTCATTAATTAAAAGACTAAACCTTAAAAGTAGGGCTGTAAACATCAATGCATTAATCTGTGCAATTAATGTGGCCTAGATCAATGCAACAAAATATTTGAATATAGTTCATGTTTGTTTGTTCCCGGAAGTAAACCGGAAGTTGACCGCGGAAATGAAACGGCCGCTAACTGCAGTCAGTTACATGAAGATGAAAAGAGCTTTTTGCATTGGAAGTAAAACAAACAGAGGTGCGACATACAGCAGATCACTGAGGAATTACTCCATGTGTCAAACAGAAGGGAGGTGAGCGACAACTACTTAAAGCATTGCTATGCTAAGCTTGCTGCTAGGCTAAGCTAGCTGCTATGCTATTTCCATCTTAACATCTAACGTTACCCTGCACAGCACACATTCTACAGAGGACCACCCCTATGTCCCTAAAAGACCACGGTTTGAAAACGTCCTGCTAAATGTGGGGACACTTCAAAAACAGCCGTTAAATGATGGGAGGGTTGAGAGCAAAGTGCACAAGGACAGCAGGAAGAGTCGCTAGATCAACATGTTCCACCCGGTGCAATTCAATTCTTCCCCTTGTGTGTCGGTCTGATTGTCCGTCCTGCCCCTGATTGTTTCCACCTGTGTGTATGCAGGGCTGTAGTGGAGGGTAAACGCACGTAAACGCTGTTTACGCACCTATAAATAGCGTTTACGCACCTCTAAGTGGCGTTTACGCACCTCAACGTTCCCTGCGCCTTGTATTCTTCCGTTGGAATAATCCGAAATAAACTTGGTGTAATTTTAAAACAGCTAAGACTACGTTTCCAATTGTTGAACATATAAACGCAGTGAATCATGTTCATCTGCGCTGTATTACGGTCTGTGAGCATCCAATCAGTGCCTTGCGGCTGCAGCAGCGACCAATCAGGATCCAGGAGGTGTGTAAACACACGTTGTGGATCAGCCCAGTGGTCCCCAACCTTTCTTACCTCACGGACCGGTTTCATGTCAGACAATATTTCGCGGACCGGTCAAGAAGGTCCGACGGGGGGGGGGTTGTGTAGTAGTCGTTGCGGGCGGAACGACCGACTGGGAGGGGTAGTAGTCGCGCGCTCTGTGTTCGCTGGTCGTGCACGGTAAAAGGACAAGAAAAACGCCTGGTGACGCGTAGATTAGAAAACAAGTCAGTTCTCAATGTGAAAAAAACCTGCTGTATAGGCTATTTATGATGACGTAGGTAGTACATGAGTGTTCCTTTAACTTATGTTGTCAGTGTAATTGACAGGCTGCTTAACTGCTTAACTCTTAAATTCAACATATTTGTTCAGGCAGTGAGAGGACAGGCAATGATGCAGAGAGCACAGGGAGAGGAGAAACACCAGGTCCAATAGAGAGAGAAGCACAGAGGAGCCATGAACGTGTTCTGGGGTTCATGGCTCCTCTGTGCAAGGCAGGACCTGACGTGGAGGACAAGGAGGCCCTCTGGGCACTACTGTGAAAAGGAGACTCCGTATGTAGATAGTTCTTAATCTGCAATTGTGTTGTTGTGTTGTGTTGACATACTTTTCTTCACTGTTTTCTTAGATTTAATAAACTACAAACTACTAACACATGTATTCATTGTCATTGATTGTATATGACTTTTACTGATAACATAATGCAATATAGCCAGGACAGCCTTACAGAGTCGCAACGCTTTGTGTTGCGTTGCTTCGCATCGCGTCGACGTCTGTATGATCACAAAATTCAGAGTTTACCCACCTCTAATTTTACCACTACAGCACTGTGTATATAGATTGTCTGCGTCTCCCTTTGTCCTGTGCCAGTTCGTCTTGTCCCAAGTCAAGGAACCAGTGTATACTAGCGTCCATTGTCAAAGCTTTGCCACGTTTTTGCTTGTTTCTTGTTCAGACTCGACTTCTGTGTCATTCCTTTTCTCAGCCTAGTGTTTATGTTCTAGATCCCTTTTTGTTCTTAGTATAGTATAGTGTTTTTCCTCGACAGAGTGATTTTCATTTTAGTGGCATTTGACTTTTAAACATCGTCTGTGTAGTCGTGCATTAAGGTTCAGGGCCATTGTCCGGTCATATGATCACCTTAGAGGTGGAACATGTTGAACTAGCGACTCTTCCTGTTGTCCTCGTGCACTTTGCTCTCAACTCTCCATCATTTGATGCGTTTCAAGTGCCAACAATGTCCCCACATTCAGCCAGGACGTTTTCCAAACGGTCTTGTAGGGACACAGTGGTGGTCCGCTGCAGGGTAGGTGTTGAGATGGAAGTAGCCTAGCAGCCCTAAAGTGCTTCCAATGCAGTAAGCTGCCTACAGTCTGTCCTGTCTATCTAACTGACTGCAGCACGCGGCGGTTTCATGTCGTTTGTTTACTTTCGGTGTGCCGGAAGTAAACATCAAAATATTTTATCGCAACAATGTCGGCCACATTGATTGCATAGATTAACATGTTCATTTTGACAGCCCTAATTTATTTGTAGTTTTTAAAACTCGATTTGTGTCCACAGATCAAAAGTGGTTTTTAATTAATACCAAACAAATATATCATGTGACCCCCTGAGAGAATCACTAAGAACCGGTATAATGATCAGCATCAATAATCGGTATTGATGGTACCTTCAATCTTGCAGTCAAAACGGGCCGCGCTGCCCTCCACCACCTCCACGTCTCTGATCACCGAGCTGAAGGTGGGCTTACACTCCGTCTTCTGCTCCAGCTCCAGACACTCTAGGAACTGGTTGTCCTCTGCACGCACACACACACACACACGTCAACACACCAGTTCCAGGAGGAGGTTCTGTGGGTGCGGGCTGACCTTCGGTGGGCGACCCCTTCTTGGCGCTGACCCCTGCCATCATCGCCATGGACGACAAGCGGCCAATGGCCCGCACGGCGTGACCCGTTTTCTACCCGGGGAAAGAAGGAAGCCCGTCACTTCCTGTACAGCTCCAGTGGGGTGACAGCTTAATAATCTATTAACTCGTTACCATCTTTGTTACAGTAGCTCTTTATTCTTTGTTGTTTTTCTACTGATGTTGTATTAAATGTTGGTGATAATCACAAGATGAAAAACAGCTTTCACCTCGTCTGAAACCAACACGTGAGATGTAGCTAGCTGAACGTTTGGGGAACATGTGCTTCATGTTTCTATTCTAACCTGCCATTTCCTCCTCAGGATGTACTTCTTCATCCTCTCCTTGGAGAGCTTCTTGGCCTTCATGGTGGTGGTGTCCTGCTTCAGCCAGGTGTGCTCGTAACACTGAGCACAGGTGAGCCTGGCCCTGACGTGCGCGCACACACACACACACACACACACACACATTATGTCTGTAGCCATCCAGGTATCTCCTCATTACCACTTTGGCCTGATGGTGGCGCTACACTCTAAGTCTGCTGGTGGTTGAACAAGGAGCTCCAGCCAACAATCCTCCCATAATCGTTTGCTTACTTCATGTCTTTCTTCAGCAGGTTGGTGATGAAATCTTTTCCGTTGTCCGAGATCTCGTCGAAGGCGTCGTCTTCGAAGTCCCAGGAGGCCGAGGTGACGTTGGACAGAGTCTCGTTGTCGTTGTCGCCCATGAAGGGGGATAAACCGCTCAGACTGAGGGGGCAAGGACACAGAACTGAGCTCAACCAAACGGAATGAAGCCGAGGTAAACAGAGCTAAAGTCAAGGGCGGCAGAATAAAAGAAAATGGTGCTTAACTGAGCTACAGACTCACAGTATGTAACAGATGACTCCTATACTCCACATGTCGGTGGGATAACTGATGGCCTCGTAGTTGATTACTTCTGGAGCCACAAACTCTGGAGTCCCAAACAACACCTTAAGAGTCCCGGCATTTTCTGTTGAAGAGAAAATAGTTTGATTAAACAATAATCAATCAATAATGATCATTTTAGCATCTTCGGCTAAACTGTTAATATTATCACATGCTTCCTGAATAGGAGCTCTGGTTTGTTGAGGAAGGATAGTAGCTTAATGTAGCATAATGTTAGCACACAGTTAACATAATAGTAAAGAAGCATCACTGATATCTGAGGTATCAATGTATTTATTCACCAAAACAATAAACAATGATCACCTAGTCTCCTGGCCAGTCCGAAGTCGATGAGTTTGATTTTTCCACCGGTCTTATTAACACACATGATGTTCTCGGGTTTGAGGTCCAGGTGGACGATGCCCTGCTTGTGGATGAAGCTGACTCCATCGATGATTTGTAGCATGTATCTGATAACCTCCCTCTCTGTCAGCTCAAAGTCTTCATCAATGATCCGCTCGAAGAGCTCGCCCCCCGAGATCCTACGGGAGAGAACATCTGTTCTGTGAATAGAACTGCAAAACACACCTGTGACAGCGTACAGGACAACAAAACACACCTGTGACAGCGTACAGGACAACAAAACACACCTGTGACAGGGTACAGGACAACAAAACACACCTGTGACAGCGTACAGGACAACAAAACACACCTGTGACAGCGTACAGGACAACAAAACACACCTGTGACAGGGTACAGGACAACAAAACACACCTGTGACAGCGTACAGGACAACAAAACACACCTGTGACAGGGTACAGGACAACAAAACACACCTGTGACAGGGTACAGGACAACAAAACACACCTGTGACAGCGTACAGGACAACAAAACACACCTGTGACAGCGTACAGCGCAACAAAACACACCTGTGACAGCGTACAGGACAACAAAACACACCTGTGACAGCGTACAGCGCAACAAAACACACCTGTGACAGGGTACAGGACAACAAAACACACCTGTGACAGCGTACAGGACAACAAAACACACCTGTGACAGCGTACAGGACAACAAAACACACCTGTGACAGCGTACAGCGCAACAAAACACACCTGTGACAGCGTACAGGACAACAAAACACACGTGACAGCGTCTATGACGACAACACTCGCATGGCTTCTCCTACCACATCTATGCTGATGACACCCAACTAATTCTCTCCTTCCCTCACTCGGATCTCTGCCTGTCTGACTGACGTCTCTCAGTGGATCCGCCCACCATCTGAAAACCAACCCTGACAAGACGGAACTACTTCTCTTTCCGGGAAAAGATTCTCCGACCCAGGACCTGAGGGTCAACTCCGTGTTAACGCCCACTTTGACTGCAGGAACCTCGGCGTCACACTCGACAGCCGACTCTCCCTGACTCCAACATCACTGACAACACGATCCTGTAGATACTCGCTCTACAACATCAGGAGAACACGTCCTCTTCTCACTCAGAAGAAGGTACTGATTCAGGCTCTTGTCGTCTCCCTCCTGGACTACTGTAACTGTCTCCTGCAGGTCTCCTGCTACCACCATTCCACCTCTGCAGCTCATCCAGAATGCAGCAGCTCCACTGGTCTTTAACTTAACCTTAAGTTCTCCCCAAAGCTGTAGACCTAGGGAAACACACTGAGGTTTGGTCCCCGGCTCTTCCTGACCCAGTGCCCTTGGGCATAAAACGTTTTTTCATGCCAGTTTAGTTTAATGTTACCTTAGGCGTAACAATCTGCTACTAGCTTCTGCTGGCATGTTCCTGGCTTCGCAATTAGCTCTCCAGACGCCGCTACGTAACCACCAGAAGAACTCACTTCTGTCTGTGGCTCTTCATGATATTGAAAGTGGGCTCGTCAGTGAATGTGGTAAAGTGCAATAAGAACGTACATCTCGAGCACCATGACGATGTCAGACTTGCCCTCGAAGGCGTCGATGCACTGGACCAGTTTGGGGTGATGGAGGCTGTTCATGATGCCAATCTCGTGCCGGACGTTGTCCTTTTCTTTGGCCGAGTATGCCTTGATGAACTTGCCTGCCCAGACCTTCTTCGTGGCCTTCTCCACCAGTTTGAACACCTGACCGAACTTCCCCCTGTCACACAGGCACAGCGGGGGTTTCACTCCCTTCAGTTGGACAAACAGGTGCATTGTGGGTGAGTGGGCAGAGCCTTACGTTCCCAAACGCTCCTCCACGTCGTACAGCTCCTTCACCTTCACGTCCGTCCTGATGGACACATCTCTGTAGTCTGGCTCCTTGTCCACGTCTGAAAACACAGAGATCAGAGGTCACCGGAGGGGTTGGCTAGGGTTGCCACCTTTAGTACAGAAAAATAAGGGACGCTACGGGCGACGGGGGGGAGGGCGTACGCTGCGGCCCACTCTCGTCGGTACTTTTGCATCCGCTTTCGCTTCAGAGCTGGAGGCCGGGGGTATCTGGTGCTGCCTCCGCCATTCTTTCACAACGCCAAGAGACCCGGATAGTGGCGACCCGAGGGTGGGCTGGTGTCATGTTGTGTTAGCTTTTAAGGAAATCTGAGCATCGTACCTTCGTCCTCCTCCTCTGCCTCGGCCTCCTCATCTGTGAGACGGACCGAACAGCAGCCGTTAGTTCAGTTGACATTTAACTTATTTAATTTGATAGACTTAATGCTGGTTTAGTCCTCAATGCACCACAGAAAACAGGACATCTGCAACGTAACGTTGCTGATAAATGCTGACATGATGATACTAGCTAATGTTCGGTATGATAGCTAAATTAGCCAACATTAGCTGGCGTTGGATAACTGATAGTAACTACCGTTAGCCAACATCAGCTATGCTCGCTGACGTTAGCTGATCACTGACGTTAGCTGATAACCGTTAGGAAGGAGGTCATCTGGACTCACCATCATCCGCCAGGCCGACAGTCACCGGCATTGACTCAGCGCTTGGCTCTCCCACTCCGTAGATGTTCTCAGCCCGGACGCGGAACTTGTACTGCCGCTCTGGGAGAAGGTTCTGTAGGCGGAGGCACAGATGTTAATCCTCTATGGGAGGTGCGCCCCTGCTGAGGCTGCTGGGGACACTCACCTGTACGTTGTAGGAGGTGCTGTTGCAGGAGGCCAGGAGCTTCCACTGCGGCTCCACTGAGTCCCACATCTCCAGGTTGTAGGACTGCACGGCGCTGCCTCCGTCGTAGGTGGGCCCGTACCAGGACAAGGTAAGACTGGACCGCCGCACATCTGAGGCGGCGGGGACCCTCGCTGGGGGATCAGGTTTGTCTTAGGGGGGGACAAGGTTAAAGGTCAATGGAGCACACTGACCCCTTGCTACACACAGAGGCCGATCGTTTGTGTTGGGCGTTAGAGAAGGATCAGGATGGAAGACATTATGTCACCATCCATCCCATAATAATTATTATAAAGGACACCTGGCACACCTGCATGTGTGTTTCACACATGCAGGTGTGCCAGGTGTACTGGTACTGAAGGACTTGAGTACTTACCGACGATGGTGAGGTTGAGGGCGGCCTGACGGAGGCCCACGAGGTTCCTCAGCTCGATAGTGTAACACCCACAATGCTCCTGCTGCCCACTGCTGATGGTCAGCCTGCTGCTGCTGTCACTGCTCTCTATGGAGATATCACCTGAGCCCTGGATCTGATCAGAGAGAGTGTGGGTGGGGGGTTCGGGGGCGAGGCAGAGACAATTATTAATGCGTTAAGCTGGAGACCTTGTTGTTTCACATATTTCATCACATATGAAAATGTCCAACTTATATGAAACATGTGACATCTTAACAGTTGACTGAACACTCTATGTGGAGACAAAATAACATCATAATAATAATCTTAGTCTCATCTGACAGATCACTGAGTGACATCAGCTGTGTTCTTAATGGAGTCTCGTTCAGTGAAGAAATGTACAACATATTATCAGTCTTCAGCATCATGAGACCACCTGCTGGTCAACAACCAAAGGCTGTTCATGTGTGTGTTTGTGTGTGGTATAAGTGTACGTGTGTGTGTCTCACTGGTTTCCTGAACTTCAGCCAGGTGCAATTTATGGGCGGAGCTCCAGAGAACTTGCAGAGGATCTCCACCTTCTCCCCCGCCATGATCTTCATGTCCTCGGGGAACTGCAGGATCTGAGGAGGCAGCGCTGCAGACCCAGATCGATAATCAGTAATCAATAACAACAACATCCATCCATCCATCGTCAAACCGCTTATCACACAGGGTCGCGGGGGGGCTGGAGTCCATCCCAGCCAACTTCGGGCGATAGACAGGGTACATCCTGGATTGGTCGCCAGCCAATCGCAGGGCTACACAGAGACATACAACCATTCACACTCACATTCACACATCTACGGGCAATTTAAAGTCCCCAATTAACCTGATCCCCAGAGCATGTCTTTGGACTGTGGGAGGAAGCCGGAGAACCCGGAGAGAACCCACGCAGACACGGGGAGAACATGCAGACTCCACACAGAAAGGCCACTGGGCGGAATCGAACCCAGGACCTTCTTGCTGTGAGGCAACAGTGCTAACCACCACGCCACCGTGCCGCCCCATAACAACAACATGCTAAAGAGAAAATACATACATACCACATATATTTATGTTAAGATATACATATATATATATATGTATATTATGTAAATAGGTATATATTTGTATGTATAAGCAGGGCTTAACGGTAGCACCGGCCTAACGCGGGTAGAATCTGCCTGTGGCGGGTAAAGCAGTACCTTCCACTGGAATTCCATATATGTCTCTCTCTATATTTTTTAGTGTAGTGTAACGGACTGTCTCGTGTTTAGTGTTTTGCGTTTGAGATAGTTTGTCCCTTCAGTGTTGCCGTAGAGGCAACAGGGGTTCCCGACCTGTGGGCTGAAGGGTGAAAGTTGAATGATAAATGATGTGTCATGAGTGCATCACCCACTCAGAACAGTCACATCGGTGCGGCGGTGGTTCTTGTGCACTGACTACAGACCGCTTCCTTAGCGAGTTACCGTAGTGTTCTCCAATCACATCTAAAGTAATAAACTCATTGCAGGGTTCTCAGGCCTCATTTGGCCGTGAGACACACGCATTTCAACAAGTTCACATGCCACATCTTAAGAAGGCGACGCACAACGAGTTGTCCCGCTATCGTTTTCCCCTCGGCCACCGTGCGCTTGTTACTGAGCAACATAGGCGAGCGAGAACACGCTTTTAAAACCACGACCGGCTCAGTGCAAAGCGGGCACGCTGCGCATAGCAGGTTCAGGGAAACCAGGAGGGCAGACCCAAAGGACAAGAAGTGGTTATGAAACTGAAGAAAAGACTGTTCATCAAAAAGTGGAGGTCCATTCAGGAATGGCTGGTTTCTGATCCAGACAAGAAAAGAATGTATTGCACTGATTGCAGGACGTATGGCAGTGAAAAGGTTCAGGAGGTCTGTTTTGTAGTTGGGACAAGCAATGAAGGTTCCGTTGGCCGTGTCAAAGCATTGCGACTAAACAGACCCAGTGTGACGTGGCTCAGCTTAAACGGCATAGTCGCAGTTAGAGGTGATGCCAATGAATCAAGCTTCTCCCAAAATGCAAACAAGTGGAAACAACATGACATTAACAGGAAACACTTGGCCAAATAAAACAATAGAAGAAACAATAGGTCACCATTTCTCCCGCCGACCACGGCCCACACAAACCAAAAGCCAAATAACCCGCCCACCCTTCACAGGTGCTAAGCCGTCCTATCAGGCTACTGGAGGACCTCCGGCTCCAGACTGCAGAGTTTCCTTTGGAATGTAACGTTAAGTAATAGAATTCACTCCAATATCTACTGATAGAAATGTTATAATAATATAACATCGTAGTTTATGACATGGCTTAAGTTACGTGACATGTCGTGTTGTTAAGTGCTAACAAACTGCTCTTAGTGATGACGTTATCTCCGTCCCCCCTCAGGCCCCTGAGCCAGACCCTCACCTCAACCCCCCTGAGTCCATGTGCTGTTCTTATGAACATCAATGTACTACACACATTTGTAACAAACACACAACGAGCAGCTCGTCACTACTAGAGGCTGACTGACGTCTTACTGAGGCTCAGACGCTTTATATGTACTTTGTACTTCATATTATCAACAGAAATATCACTTTCTAAGTCAATGACGTTACAGAAGAAAGTGATCTTGGAGGACCAGAAGACTGCGAGGATGCAGACTGGCGACTTTGAGTATCTCATTGCATCTTATATGCTTTGTCTTAATCAGTTGCATATGTTCTCATACAAAAGGAGCTTTACACCATTATGGAGCTGAAGGTTTGGTGACTACACGTTTACATTTGATGTAGTCTTGATTTGTTTACAATGGTCATTTACATTTGAAAGGATTGTAAATCTAGTTCTTCAAGTAAACCGTAGTCAACTTTATTTTAACAAAACGTAATTTCCCAACAACAAAATTGTGGCATTTTCTGCTAGTAACTTTAAAAAACCACTAGTAGCAACAACAACAACAACAACAGTGGCTGGTGAGCAAAAATGTTAATGTCAAGCCCCGTATGTATGTATGTATGTATGTATGTATGTATGTATGTATATATGTATGTATGTATGTATGTATGTATGTATGTATGTATGTATGTATGTATGTATGTATGTATGTATGTATATATGTATGTATGTATGTATGTATGTATGTATGTATGTATATATGTATGTATATATGTATGTATGTATGTATATATGTATGTATGTATATATGTATGTATGTATATGTATGTATGTATGTATGTATGTATGTATTAGTATGTATATATGTATGTATGTATGTATATATGTATGTATGTATGTATGTATGTATATATGTATGTATGTATGTATGTATAGTATGTATGTATGTATGTATGTATGTATGTATATATGTATGTATGTATGTATGTATGTATATATGTATGTATGTATGTATGTATGTATGTATGTATGTATGTATGTATGTATGTATGTATATATGTATGATATATGTTTATATTTATGTATATGTTAAAAGAACCGCATAATGTTCCACCTCAGTACGACACATCGGGGCACGCGTGTTCTGGGTCACCCGATAATCCAGATGTGCGTCGATGTTCATAATCTGCTGGTGCCAAGATGATCGTCTACATCCGAGGTGGACCACCAGCACGGACCCCCCCTTATGCATGTTTACCCTACAGCTGTATATTCCTGCTCCGAAGATGACTTGTATGTGTGTCAACTCCTGTTTGCAGACATTAAATGTCCTGTTTTTGATCATTTAAACCCATGTCAACAATATGTATATGTATATATATTTATGTGTATGTACATATTCATGTATATATATGTGTGTGTATTTATGTACAAATGTACATATTTATGAACATATGTATGTGTATATGTGTGTATACATACGTATGTATACAGATGTAAACGTCTCACCTTGTTTGGGAGGAGTCTTGGCTGTCGGTTTCTTTATTCTTGCTTCACCTAAACACAAAATAATATTTCTGGATTTAAGCTCATTCTTATACTTTTTAAATGTATTTTAATCAGGTTACTGTGATTTAGTTATTGATCAGAATGAACTGTGACCCGTCTGGTTTAATTATCAGCAAATTCCTTAATGAATCACAAAATGAAACTCAGTAACAGTCAGAAGTACAAATACAGGATATTTAACTTCTATGTTAAATCGGTTCAGAACTTCTCAGACGATTCAAACGTTTTACGACAGTTTGAGGGAAATCAGCGTGAAGACGAGGAGCTTCTTAGAAGGAGGGAGAGAACCGAGAGTAAGAGGGAGGAGGAGAGGAGGAGATGAGGAACCAGGCCTTAAAAGGAAGTCTGTCCTCCATCTCCTCCCCTCGGCCCCATTCGCTCCCATAAACCAGCCTCCTCACTACGGACACTAAATACTACAAAGGGATAGAAAGGAACACAACATCTGACAAGAACAAATAAGAACCTACTGCAAAGCAGATGGAACTGTTTCCAACTTCAAAACGTTAGCATCTAACAGGACAAGGGCATTGTTAGCCTAGCTTAGCACAGAGCACATGGGAAAACTGCTAGCCAGCGTAGCAACAAACAGCTAGCTTATTCATTTAGTAATCAATGGCAGGCAGCTACTAAGATGTAGCATAGCTAACGTGAAGTCTCAGTGTGTGCGTTAGTGTGCGTGTCTCAGTGTGGTGTTAGTGTGCGTGTCTCAGTGTGCGTGTTAGTGCGTGTCTCAGTGTGTGTGTCTCAGTGTGTGTCAGTGTGCGTGTCTCAGTGTGGTGTGTCAGTGTCGTGTCTCAGTGTGTGTGTCAGTGTGCGTGTCTCAGTGTGTGTGTTAGTGCGTGTCTCAGTGTGTGTGTCAGTGTGCGTGTCTCAGTGTGTGTGTCAGTGTGCGTGTCTCAGTGTGTGTGTTAGTGTGCGTGTCTCAGTGTGTGCGTTAGTGTGCGTGTCTCAGTGTGTGTGTCAGTGTGCGTGTCTCAGTGTGTGTGTCAGTGTGCGTGTCTCAGTGTGTGTGTCAGTGTGTGTGTTAGTGTGCGTGTCTCAGTGTGTGTGTCAGTGTGCGTGTCTCAGTGTGCGTGTCTCAGTGTGTGTCAGTGTGCGTGTCTCAGTGTGTGTGTTAGTGCGTGTCTCAGTGTGCGTGTCTCAGTGTGTGTGTTAGTGTGCGTGTCTCAGTGTGTGTCAGTGTGCGTGTCTCAGTGTGTGTCAGTGTGCGTGTCTCAGTGTGTGTCAGTGTGCGTGTCTCATTGTGTGTGTCATTGTGTGTGTCAGTGTGCTTGTCTCATTGTGTGTGTCAGTGTGCGTGTCTCAGTGTGTGTCAGTGTGCGTGTCTCAGTGTGTGTGTCAGTGTGTGTGTCAGTGTGCGTGTCTCAGTGTGTGTCAGTGTGCGTGTCTCAGTGTGTGTCAGTGTGCGTGTCTCAGTGTGTGTGTCAGTGTGTGTGTCAGTGTGCGTGTCTCAGTGTGTGTCAGTGTGCGTGTCTCAGTGTGTGTCAGTGTGCGTGTCTCAGTGTTGTGTTAGTGTGCGTGTCTCAGTGTGTGTGGGAACCAGTGGTCCCAGCCTGCAGCTCCTTATTGGGACAAAAGGAAAGAAGCTGCTGCATATTTCGGAAACTCACTCTCTGAGGTCGGAGTCGTCTTCTTGGATTTCTTGTCAGCCGGAGAGTTTTCTGATGGATCTGAAGGACATGAGACAGATACGCAGAGACGCACGTAGAGAAAGAGAGTCAGCCAGAAAGAGACAGAGACAGATGTAGTGAGACAGTGAGACAGACAGGAAGAGAGAGAGAGAGGGAGAGACAGACGGACAGGAAGAGACAAGGAGAATGAGAGAGACAGACATGAAGAGAGATGGAGAGGAGGATAGAAAGAGACAGACAGGGACAGGGACAGACATGAAGAGAGATAGAAAGAGACAGACACAGGGACATTGTGTGAATGTTGTGAGTGTCTCTTCCATTGATATCAGCTGAAATGAGCTCCGGTCCTTTAATTTTGGGTCAATAATAATCATATAATTTCAGAATAAAGTTCTTACCGTCAATGAGAACCATGCAGGAACTTTCCTCTTTGCCTCCTGAGTTCTCCGCTCTGCATTTATATTGTCCTTCATCCTCTGGCAGAGCTTTGTCTATAGTCAGAGAGCAGAGTCCTCCTGCAACAAAACATACTATTAGTACTATTACTATTATATTACAAATATTTACATATACAGAGCCGTGCTGAAGTATTCATCTGCTTGGACCCATTTTGACCATTTTGTTCTGTTACAAACGGAATGCAAATAGAATTCTTTCTGTTTGATCAACACAACTGAGAAGTACTCTGAAGGTGCAAAATTGCTTTTATTGTGATACAAACAATGAGTCAATACTTTTGCTGCAATCTAATCCAAACCATTCCATTGCAGGTCTGGCTGTAAGTTGAAGGTCTTTGTCCTGCTGGAAGACGAAGCTCCGCCCCCGTCTTAAGTCTTCTGCAGACCATCATTTCTCTTCAAGGATTGCTCCATCCATCTTTCCCTCATTGTGACTAGTTTCCTGTAGCTTTTCAAGAGACGCATCCCCACAGCATGATGCTACCACCACCATGTTTCCCTACTGAGATGGTCCTCAGGGTGATGGGTGGTGTTGGGTTTCCTCCACACAGCTATTTGCACCAAGGCCCAAAGGTTCTGGCCTCTTCTGAGCAGAGGAACCTTCTTCCACCTGTTGGCTGTGTCTTCCACGTGGCTTGTGGAAAACTCCAAACAAGACTTCTTTTGGTTTACTTTCAACAGCTTTCTTCTTCTTCT